CCCTACACTATGTGGACTTCCTTTGTGCAGAGGTCCACACTATGTATGGCACGCCTGCACACGCACCCACACGTTGTTATTTGAGAAATCAATCAGGCCAGAATATAACATTTGCCAGATCACAACGAAACTAACAAGCAAAGTCCTACAACCTAAGTGTTTCTCTTTCATTTGGTAAGGAAAATCTTAAGCTGGAAATCACCTGCCATCTGTCAGTGCGTAACCCCATGCCTACAGAAAATGTACCTGAGCATGAAACCTACACTTGCATATACACGTAGTACGGTGGACTCTGTGTGGATCTGTTGCTGCTGCCTTGTACAATGCACATGTACACGCACATGTATGCTGATAACGTATTATTCTGTTCTGATTAAAATAACATAATCTTGTCTCATGTTTAATGAGTGGAGTTTGGGTACATGCAATTCTCCCTGGAACAAGATGCAACATGGCAAATTATCAGCAATTCATAAATACCTCAGACAGTCTCCCTATTCAACAACTAGCAACTTGACTGTGTATTAACATCTGATAATGCCAGCTGAAAAGTGGTAATATCCGCTGCATAAATCACTCACTGGTGCCCGGATACAAGAGAGTTTAATCAATTCTAATTGGTCAAGAGTCTGGGTGCACATTGCTTGCCACAAGCGTGCCAAGTCCATGTAAGGAGATTCTAAACTAAAATGGACGGGGTTGTTTTTCGGAAAATGAAAAGTAAAATTTTAGAACAAAATCATTTGAAATCAGTCATACACGTATATTGACTTCGTTTGACACTCTGACTAAACAAGGTATTTATGAATGGGAATAAATACATGTATGTACTAGGCTGGTCTTAAAGTTTAAAGACCGGCTGAAGAGACTGAACACTGATAATGCCCAAGCCGCCATTCTCCTTAGCCAGTCTTAAATGCACATTTAAGACTGGAACCAGCACGTATTTATTCCCTTATTACAAGGAGCAAAAGGGTACATAAACAGGTCAATGTCCTCACCCCCGGTTTTCAACAGACGCCTCCTTGACGTGCACATAAGTCTTTGGGAAAATACCCTGCAAGAACAAGGGTAAACAAAGACATACGATAATATGAGACCAGGAACCAGACTTCTAGGTCAGAAACCACTCATCCCCAAATGCACAAGTCTTGAAGTTGCCCGTGGAAAGTGCCAGTCAACTAGTCACAATAGATTCAATTATGTCCAAATTCCATGCGGCCGTTAGACTTGAAGTTTGTCAGGCAAAAATAAAAGTACCGTAGTTATGCACTGTGCACATTTGAAGTAGGGTAACTTATGACACGAAAGTGGAGCCGGTACCTGGAAAATACGACACTTCAAGAACATCAAGTGGATGTTGTACACATCCTTGAGTTCTTTCAGGTTTAGATATGAATGTATTAACCCCAACAGCCCTGAATCCTCCAATTTTAATATGATTTTGCACATACCCTAGGGAGTTAGGGTTAACATGGACTTGAGAGCTAAACTCCAATAGTAAAAGCCACATGACTGAATATTTATAAGAAAAGTCAGGAATCTAATGCTGAAAATGATAGAAAATTTGATAGTCAAACAACCGATTTGCACTGATTTTTTTGAACAGATTTAAAGCCACGAGCATAGAGTAAGCTGCAACAGGAAATTCTGTCCATTTCTGCATACATTTATAAACTGGCTCTGTTTTAGGCTGGACGCTCAAATGAACATTCACAGGAGCTGACAAAATCATAATGGGCAATGTAAACACACAACAGTGAATAACATTTCAAACATGTCAATTGGAACAAACTCTAACTGAAGATGAAGTAAAAATATTATGTACATGGAGGCTACACATTACAAACATGTACATTACTTTTGTATCAAGTTGCAGATCATTTTTCCATTGTTGTTTAATTTCAACTTCTGGGTTCCTGAAAGTCTGGGTGTGAATATCATGTATGCGCTTGTAGCAAAGACAGTTAATAAGAGAAGCAGGCACATGTGCCAAAGATATGGTGTAACTGTTCAGCGCTTTATATTTATGCACTGGAAAATACAGGCTTGCGAACATGCACAATGTACTCGTACATATACAGTGGTGCAGCCAGGAAATTATAATAAATTTATTGTAAACACAGTCTGATGGAAACCAGATGTGAATAAAATGGCTCTCAAACAAATTTTTATTCTTTTTGCCTCTGGGTAATTCCAGAAATTAGGGGTCCATGTTTTTTGTGTGTCCCTGTCACATCTGCCATGAATTTCTAAGTTCAGAACACATTTTCTAATTTCCAAGAGTGAGAAATTAATGAAAATTACCGTCCAAACAACTAGTAATAGTTTGAAATCAGTTCTGGTGATATTTCCATGTCAAATAACAAAGGCACGACGACGGGGCACAAAAAGGTCACACTTTTGGACCCCTAATTTCTGGAATTACCCCTCTCTGAAAAAGTGGCAAGTTGCATCTGGCATCAAGAGAGTGAATCTCTCAACAGAAGTACCTTCAATGTAATTGCAATCAAATGGTATTCAAGGATACTGGCGACATGCTACAAATGTTTCACAGGCACTGGTAAAAATGATACCATACATGTGTGTAGGATGGAACTCCATCGTGCCAAACTGATTTATGAGTGAGTGCATACAACTAGCAAGGAGCTTTGGAAAGAGAAATCCCACAAGGAAACTTACCCTGAACCTCCGGTTCCTCGTTGTGAAACCTTTATACCAGCCTGAGAGGAGGAAAGGGTGAGGATATGAACAAGTTATACTCTAGGTACTGTGGAAGCACACGGTGCCCTGCATGTACCCTACATGTACAATATAATGCCGTACATCATGTCACAATCACAAGCCCTGTCCAATAAATATCCAACAAAATTTAGCCTTTTTGAAATTAAAGCAACGTATGCACTCTTTTGTTCCAGAAAAGTGCTCAAAGATTGAACAACAGGTTCTCAGTTGATATGCTTCATGTAGGGCTACTAAAATATAAAAATTGTATCTTAAATTCACAGGCGAATGTAGTATTTACTACAAAATTGCTATTCTATATGTATTTTAAATAAACGTATTCAAATGTAGTATTTAATACCACTGAGAATAGTCTGGCCTAAATCTCTGAAGAATGTAGCTCTTCACATGCATGTACTGAGCTTGTTCACTTTCCTAAGCAAAATTTCTTGGTTGTTGATTCAACACTAACTGCTGAACAAAACAAGAACATACAGTTCCTCCCCCAAATGACAAGTCTGGCTAAAAATGAAGTCGTAAATCTACCTCACAACAGGCTTCCATTCACAAGAGACAGATCTTGGATAATTGCAAGTGTTAGAATGGGCCTTGTAAGCCATGACTAAGACTTGATAGCCCTCAAATAGATTCTCCTTAGAACTTCTCGGGCAGAAACAAACTATTAGGCCCCCTTAATATTGAAAGCTGATTGAGGCTGCATCTACTTTAATTAAAAAAAAAAGAGGACCTGTGGTTGAAAATGTACATCCTGCACCTTAACTCCAAAGAACAGTTACTTTCCAAATTGGTTTGTCCTTTCGTATTTTATCTAATACAGTACGGTGCACACTTTTGGTCACACTATGAAAACTGCCCCCTAAAGAGATGAAGGCATCCGATGAGACCAATCATCTGAACTACATGTATGACAACCATCCCCTAATGTCTTAGTCGGTACAAAAGAACAGGTACTTTACACCTGCGCGGGTGTGGGGGAGGGAGGGATTGACGACGGGATCAAACTTGCGAGATTTGCTTCAGCCATGGTAACAGTGTACATCCGTGCTCCCTGAACCCATGTACTTGTCCACCTGAAACACTATGCCAAAAAGCCCACTATACTAGGGCCAGCAGCTTCATTCCAGCAGAGCCCATTTGGTCTGTGATTCTAGGCAGTAGAATCCCACTAACAACATAACCTACGAACCCCCATCTCAAGTACACAAGAAGGCAAGTTGTGTATACATGTAACTCTCACTTAAAACGAGAACCAGCTGTGATCAAGACAACAGAAAATCCCTGGTGAATAAATCAAGCAGTCCCAGACAGCGGTACCAACATTTCCACCATGTGCACCCAGATCTTGTTTATGCATATGCCATGTACACTGTACATGTACATTGTACATGTAAGGTGCACGTACATGTACCATAGGAAACACATGGCCTTACCACACATGCACTGTACAGTTTCAATGTTTGATGTTAGCAGTGTGCTTCAGCCGGGAACCGGAATGCTTTCGATTCCGCACCTGCAAAAGTTGCCTGTGTAATTGGCAAGTCTGCATATCCTGCAGTTGGCCCAGATGTTGATTTCTTGCCCACATGGTTTAATTCATTTCCTGTGAATCTTCTTCGTCAGAGCTCAGCTCTGCACATGCGACAGCACTGCACCAATCCCTGGCCATGCACAACGGCATGCCCACCTCAATGACAAGTTTAGCTTCCCCGCAGTGAGTGGATTTCTCAGTTGAAACACATGTACTGGATGAAATTACAACGTTGTAAACATAGCGTACAGTGCAAAGTTTAAGTAGACAAAAACAAAAACAGCCGTGGCATACAGGTACATGTAACAAGCGATTAAACCCCAACTTTTAAAGTTATTAATGAAGGCACGAGTATCAATTGTTGTCAGAGACAGCACTGATATTCTTGAACATCAAATGATGGAGTGAATGCAAACTTTGCTTCGATACACTACACAGGAGGGAAAACAGAAGAACCCCCTTTTTAAACATACATGTATTTGGCACTGAGGGTAAAATAAGAAAAAAACAGTACATACACATGTAGGCCATTGAGCAATTCAAGATATTACGGATCCATTTTTTTTTTTCATGTCCCTGTCACATCTGACATATGATTTTGTAAGTTCAGAACACATTTTCTAATTTCCAAGAGTGATGAATTAATGCAAATTACCTGCCAAACAAATACTGCCGTAATAGTTTGAAATCACTTCCGGTGATATTTCCATGTCAAATAACAAAGGTCAGATGTAACAGGGTCACAAAAATGTCACACTTTTGGACATGTACATGTATGGATACTTGAACACATGTTTTCACACTGTTACACATGTATCTCAGGGTGACATGATATGAGCTGGCATTTGAGGAGTGTCATAAATTATTAGGATGGAGGTTGACAAAGACTTGAATATTTCGGTGCAATGGCTACACCTGTACAATACACTATCTGTTCCATGTTATTAAAAATAATGATGGTTTTACGAACGAGCACATTAACTTTTGCTCTGAGAACTGAAATCAATTAAAAAGTATCTGATGTCCAAAATATGGACAGAGACAATTAGGAATCCTGTGAATCTTTTTAACCTCTTTCTCATTCCAACTGACCTGAACACTCCTCCAGGATCTGGACGGTGTCCCCCACGCTCAGCCTGAGCTCAAAGGAATTACTCCCCTCAAAGTTATAAATAGCTGTAAGGAAGGAAAAAGAACGTGTCAGCCATAAACACAAGTCCTGAAAGGCCCTTGATTGTAGGGAAAGTTTAGCGGTAGATGACGATTTTTTGTATACCATTCTCGAGGAGTTTGGATCTGTACAATTAACACTGCAGAAATATCCAGTTGTGACTTGTACACACTCTGACCATTATCTCCTTTGGACTTATTAACTTCCTCAATTGTAATTAGAATTTCAGTTCCCCCTTGCATCCTGGGAATTTTCCATGTACATGTAGCTCAGGAGTATCGGGTCCCTTTGAAGGGTCAGGGAACGTCACAGGTACAGTCCGACATTTGTTGCTGTCCATAGAGTAACCAGGGAAAATAATTGTTGAAAAGCATGCATGGTTTCAAGATAGTGATGGGACAAAACTCCCTATGAAGTAATTCTTTCGGCAAGCTGTCTAAAGACCCAATTTTTGGATAGTAGTGGTTCGTTTATTATTCAGCAAAGCATGCGCAAGCATTAACATGATACACATGCACATGCTCAGTTGCTATCGGCAGGTTCAGTGCACATTACATAGCTGCAATCGGCTAAAGGCGAGGGAGTCCCAGATGCTGAGTTTGGGCGCATTTTGAAATATGACTCATCAATTTTTGATTTGAAATGGCGATCCCAGAATTTTGTTTTCTTCACAATGTACAGCCTTCACTGATTTCAAACTTCATAAGGTTAGTTGTGGAACACCCTTCTTTAGATTTTGAGCACTTCTTCAAAGGATGTATGACAGACTGCACCTTGAACATAAACCACAGAGCTCATTCTCCAAGTGAATTGTCACCAACATGTGTTCGTTTACTAGAATCCACCCCCCCGTCTGAAACCCTCCATTTTTCACGGAGATTTTCCCTCAAACCTTCCTATTAAACTCACTCAAATGCTCATGTTAGACCCCAACTAAATGTACTACATGTATAGCGTCTGTCCAAGTTTATGCATATCACACTTGACACAATTTATCTAAAATACGGCATAAGACTATGAGATGACATTGTAAACAATATGACTTTGGCACATGCTGGGCACATGCACACTGGATCTCTGTGCTGCTGTTGGGCCGGCCCAACTATAGCACTCTAGTTGGGACGGTCCAAACTATAGTTGGGACTGATGCTGTAGTTGGAGCTTAACACTTACATGCCGTAATTTGATAAAACATTCAAACACTGATATTCATAACACCCCCCCCCAAAAAAAAGGGAACAAAAACTCACCCACTGCATATTTGGCTTCAATGGTTGGCACCCAACCAGTCATGGCTGATGTTCCTATACACTCTCAGATGTGGCACTTACATTCTCACTGTGGGGACAATGCAGGACTTCGGAAGGACAGAGAATGAGGGGAAAAAAACAACCCAAAACACTCTTATTTCCAAAGCTATAAAGAATGTCAACCCATTAACATGTTTTCCAGTCAACTGCAAGTATGGTATGCCCCGTTTTACACATGATTTACATGTAACTCACTCCACACAACAAACTTTTATGACAGGGATGCACCACATGAAGTCACATTTATGACGCTGTTTTACCGTTCATGCCTACTTGACTCTAAAAACAAAATGCACTGTACATGTACGTAAATTAGTACACATGAACTGGTTTCCGTCAGGTAACTGACATGAACAGAAGGCTCACAAATAAGGTTCTTATTCAGAAGTCTCAATTGAAGCTGCCTGAAATTTTCTTTTTACAAGCTTTTAGAAAGTGCTAATTTTCCCACAGTTGGGGATGAGAAAAATTATTATTTGAAACAGACAATTCAACTTACAAATTATTTCAGTTTTCAAACCAAATTCTCCGCTGACTGAAGTCACATATTAGTAGGGTAAGCATTTACAGGTATTTCTGGAACTGGGTACCAATTTTATGTCAACACTGGGTACCCTTAAAACATAAAGAAACACAATCCCGGCAGACCATGTGCACAAAACAGCGCCCTTTATTGTACAAAGGAAGTCGCACATTGTTCACAACATTTGAGGGGAATCACCCCTACCTTTTATTAAACAAAGTGTCACCATTAATTTGTAACAAAAGTAGCTCTGTCAATCTCTAAACCGGAGTTACGACTGCGGGACTGGGTTTTCGGTGGCACAATGATTTTTCTGCGATTCTGCTCTTTACTTTTAAAGTTCACTACAAACATTTTATACCATATGTGGAATTTATTACGGGTAGCCGGCCTGAAAAAATGGAACAGGGTTTTGATATTGACAGGAGGCTACCCAGCTTAGGCTTTATTAATTAAATTAAAACTGCACAAACACGATTCAACATGAAAATGATGCGCTTGACCTCAAACAGCCTTACAATGTACATGTACATGTATAGTATAATGAAGCTTTGTGCATGAAGTTGTTTACAACTGTTAGACAACAAAACAACCCAATTCAGGATCTGGGAAAGTGGGTGTCTGGGCAATACTGAAATCCCACGCCTGAGGGATTTTTTTTAATTAGCATTCAATCAACTGGGTCAGCCAGCAGCAGCGGACAAAGAGACACTGATGAAAAACCATGTGGGTGTGTTTACCACACACCATTATGCCCTAGCTTTTAATCTGAACACTCACAGAACAACTGTGTTTTGAAAACATGCAGCAATACCAGAAACTGAATCATGTAGCTTATCATAACAACTGACTTAAAAAGAAACACCCTTTAATAAGAAATAGTTGACTGCACACTCGGGAATCTGCATCTGTTTTATCACAGTAGGAAATCAAGTGCCGGTAACTATGAAATGTCACATACATGTACATGCACACTGTATGGTTTTAGCAAATATTTATGTTCCGTGTATTTATTTTAGATTTGCATGCATAAGGGTGATTCCAGAAATTAGAAGTCCATTTTTCTCGTGTCCGTTACATCTGACATATGATTTTGTTAGTCCAGAACACACTTGTACATATACCTGTCAAACGAATACTAACAGTTTGAAAACAATTCCGGTGATATTTCCATGTCAAATAACAAAGGTCAGATGTAACTGGGACACAAAAATGTCACACTTTTGGACTCCTAATTTCTGGAATTACCCATAAACACTTAACCTACATGTACATGTACATAGACATGTAGGTTACACATGTGACTGTTTCCTCCACCGACTTGTAAAACTTTCTGAAGAACATGAATGTGACTTTTTATACCAGGGCCACATTTTTATCTCACTTTCAGCTTCCGAATGGTCCTCAAAAGTACAAACATTTGCTGTGATCTGTTGGCCATTTTGCATTGTGATGTCTCAACTTGACATGCACCTGTTTCACAGTAAAGCTGTGAACATGATTACACTCTCGATGCCACATCTTTGTATGAATTAAGCGACTTAAATTGATAGCAATAGTACAAGTACAACTCAAGACCTACGATGTGCTGAGTATTGGAAATGGCTTCTTAGAAATTGCTATTGGTTGGACAGACTGGTTTCCGCAAGCAGCGGACAAATTCAATTTTACACGGTGCGACCTACAAGGATAATGTTGCTGCTAAGCGGATCAACAGATATTAATTGAACTATTTTCTCTCAAGCCAGCGATTTTTCCCAAGAAACCTTCCGAAATACTATAAAAATACATAATGTGCAGGAAACCTACATGTACATGTATGCCAATATTCTGTGAGCCAAATCGTGAAGTTACGACAAGGTCACATGGAAAGGGAGTCGGGACTCCAACTTCCATAATCCTGCAAAATCCTCTGAAACCTCTAGGTTGTTTGTTGAAGGGTCAAGGTGGGTTTACCCTTTAGGGTTACAATGTCATGAATACCATTCTCCCGGCTAATAGCCAAGTTTCTACATGTACCAACTGTATGCACCCCACTGAGAGTACATTCAGGTACCATGTACGTGCCTTTACATGTACTGAGCATAAATCTACCCTTTATAGGAAGTTCTCTTTCTTTTCATGATATCAAGTTCAATGGCAACATTCCAAAATAAGTTTTGCTAGGTACACGTACATGTAGCGGTCCACTACTTCCTGAACAGTAAGGCACTACTCCGCTGGCCTCACTGGAGCTATCTTTTTGATGGTTCCGTACGCTGTGGCATTTTGAAAGCTGCCCAGTAATAGTATCAGATAAAACATCCGTTTGTGCTTGCTTTTAAAAGCAACTCTCCCCCAAAGACTCTATAATAATAGCTGACCTATATGGAAATACCTTTCCCGAGTGTATTTTGTAGCGTATAACCTATAATATTATTGGCAAAAAATGAGGATTTTTCTACCATCCTCACCTCTCATCTGGATCGAGGATCGACTAATCACATATCGGCTCAACCATTTTGGAAGCGAGTGAGGGGCGGCAATATTTAAAAATACATCTTGAAAATATTTAAAATGTTGAGAAATATGTAATTCAGAGAGTGAAAATATTTGGCAAAGATACGGTTGTGACGTTGTGAGACTAGTAAAGTCTCTGTTTTCCATGTACATGTAATTTGGGGATTTATTATTCCAATTAAGCAAGTGCAAACGGATGTTTTATCTGGTACGATTGCTGGGTAGCTTTCAAAAGGTCATAGCGTACGGAACCATCAAAACCATGGCCCCCAGTAAGGCCTACGGAGTAGTGCCTTACTGTTCTGGACGTACATGTACACATACATGTACCTGCTGCAGGCAATGTGAAGGACCAGACAGGTGTATAGATTTTTTAATTCAACCGGTTCTACGGCACTATACAATCCAGTGCAAAAAGTTGACAGGCACAAATTCCCTTCATGTGATCCCAAATTTCCTGGCAGACAGACAGAAGTCTACATGTAGGTAAATGTGGCACGGAAAAAGTCATTGTTTAACAGCAACTGGTTTACAAATACATGTGCATGTACCGTTCCAAGTAATAAGACACCTAACTTGCTGCTGGGTAATACAGCACTTTGTAATAACACATGTGTACTTAGTCTTACGGGCCTATTTTCTAACAACCTTTGGGTGTTTCCAAGTCTCGTAACTTGGGAAAGAACATACTATTTCATATCACGACCTACATGTAACTGATGATCAGTCACTCAAATGTTACACAAAACTGAAGCTATGAAACTTTTTTGGGAGGGGGTTCGAAATCATTCCCCATAGATTCTGTACACAATCAATGAATTTTGAAAACAAAATTGAAACTGAGAAATGTTCCCAGTTAAAACAACATTCCTCACAGAATATACAATGACAATGTTTAACAAAAGTGACTTGAAATTCACTGTGAAATGCTTTAGATTATGTTTAAAACCATATTCCTCATGGATTATGTGCACAATCAATGAAGTAGCATGCTGAGAATTACATATACAATTTGTATTTCTTTGACAAAATATTTTCAGGGACTGAAACGACTGATTAAGAATTATGACATTCTCAATAAAGATGGGAAAATTAATCTCAAGTTCACGTGTGGACCTCTGTGTGGGCCCACATGTTGTTCAGAAATGTATGTGTATGTTTTTGCATGAAATAAAATTTTTCGTAACTGTGAACATGGTGAATATTCAAACTTTGCCCAACGTTTGTAATTGTGTACATTCATCAAACTAAAAACTACACACCATTCTATAAATTTCTGGGTAAAATTAGACATCTGAAAATGAAAACATTTTCCACTTCCGCACACCGGCCCCCAAATACCAATCAGAACACAACCTAGCCGCACGCACAAACATGTCACTGTCAGACAGTGCCACAACACGCAAAGCTAGTGATGCATGCCCACAAATATTCATTGTGAAAAACACTGACAAGAATTGACGAAGGCTGGGTCCGGTCGACAAAAATGTGACAGACGATTTCACCGATTCTCCAGCGGAGAATCCCAAATCTACGAGTAAAATTCCACAGCATCTTCCAAAATACCACAGAAAATTTAGGATAAGTAAGAAAATGTAGGGAAGATTTGAAATATTACCTAGTTATTCTTCTGTCAGTCGATCATCAACTTGCGCCGCTGCCATGACTCAATGTGCACAATGCACTTAGTCTGGCTACCGACGTAACCATTGCCCCTAACGGGCTGCATAAAAATATATAAAACCCTGACAGATGTTGGAGCCGGTAGCCAGACTAAGGGTCGTGCCCCTCGTATTTTAACAAGTAGTTGACGAGCGTTTAGTCAAGCAAAGTTGGGAAGGGGTGGGAAAGGGGTAATTGTTCGAATTTACCTGTTTTCGTTGAACATTTTGAAAATATCATGTAACGTCCTTTGAGCCACTACCTCAAGAAAAAACCTTTTACGCAAATGGTTTTTAATTTGCCATCTTGGGTTTGGTTGTTTTTCCTTCCTTAATTTAGGCCTATCATGATTGGCGTGATTGGTGGAATGATTGCATAAAACCATGTGTAAATAGCTAGATCAGATTAAACTATGGAGTTAAAAAGCCGAAAAATCATCGTTGGAAAGTTAGCCGTAAAGTAAATGCAGCAGTGATAATACAAGAACAATTGAAAAAGAAATTAAACCTTAAAATTCTTTTACATATGGAATTACTAATCAATTGACAATGCTTAATTAATTAGGCCCCTGTATAAACAGTCGTCGAGCCCTCGGCCCATCCGCCCGAGTCACAAACTTCCTCCCATGAGGTTTTACAAGCGAACTGCATTATTTGCATAGGCTTTTTTCAATCAATCTTTGGGATTAAGGTTGGAGTGGTGCAAATTCGCCGGTTCCATACCGCTATGAGAATGCCGGATACCAGCGCTGCACAAGCGAGAGATCAACATGGCGGACAGCGAAGCTATCGAAAATGAAAACCTTGCGGAAAACGAGTCAAACCTTTCATCGAATCAGCATCAGCCTGCGATGAACAATGAAGGGGCAAACAGGGAAATATCTCAAGAAAGTAACAGGCAAAGGTATAAATGGGTTTACTACTTACTTGCATGGGAAGGCTAGAAACTTGTATTGCGCGCGTCTCGGGCTTAGGCGCAGAGATCGTATGGCGCCGCGAAGCGGCGCTATATGATTGGTCCTGTGTTCTGAAATTCGTATACGTGTATTTCCGACACAAGATGTCTTCTGCCGGGACACCCTTCTGCATACATGTACATACATAGGTACGTGTATGACGTTAAATTAAAGACGAACTCCAGCTGTTTTAAAAGTGTTGAAATTGTGTTGAATTTGTGATCATGGTGATAAATCATTATTCATTACGAAATCATGTTTGTATTGCGACTGTGTTTTTTGTAATTTTGCCAAAACCTTTGAACGCTGTCTTTGAGTTTTATGAAAAATTTCCACAATCTGACCACAGGTGGCTCTGTCATGTCTGTAGAGAAACAAAATTTGTATGATGTCATTCTGGAGAATACATTGAAACTGGTTCCTAGGCTAAGTGGTATCCATGGCACGACTGGTTTCACAACAAAGGTACATGTATATACAATGTTCATGAACATGGAGCATTCTTCAAGTTTGTGCTGTTGTCCGCGGCTACGCGTGCTATGCGTGCCTAAAGCATACGCAATGCAGTATTTCCTCTCCACCGTAATACATCACAGACATCAATATTCATTAGATGCTAATGAGTCGTGACATGCCCATTTTTACAGTACTGGACTGGCAGGAAAAATGGGTACAAAAACTGTGTTTTTTTCACACAGAAACTTGTATTGCAAGGGAGATATATATGTGCCTTTTATATTAGACTTAGTTCTTCTGAATAAGATTCAATATGAGAAAGTTTAGCATCGTTGACGTTGGTCTTTAAGGCTCTAGAAAGTTTTAATAGAGGTCATTGTCCTACATCATGTCCATCATTGGCCATGATCAGGGTTACATAGTTGGTCATGTAATAACATTAACAAGAGTTTGCAGCTGGAAAGTTGAAGTTTAATATGTTGAGTCGCCATTGAAGCGTGAACATGATGAACAGATGAATCCAATCATTTGATTTTGATCATGATTTTTTTTTTCTCTGCAAGCCTGGCAAACGAACTTCCAGAAGTGTACTGTAACTCAGGTTATACGAACATAGACAAATATGTACAACAGACAACAATGGTATGGCTCACCATAGGAATGTTTCAGCTTTTCAACTGTAAGGACTTACAGTGTTAAGACAGGTTAACTAATTACAACGTGGCACCTTTTTTCCCCCTCTTGACCTCAAATGAAGGCCATGCTGCAATTTGTCAAATTGTGCCTCTATGCCAGTGACCAATCATAGCACAGCTTATATTTGAGGGTGAGAGGGACATAAAAAGAAAAGTATAGGAACTGCATCGTAATTGGTCAAACTGTCATACTGCCTACATTAAACCTATAAAAATGGCCTTCCAACTAAGTAAGAACTGCTCTCTGTCTTTGGTGGTATTCGAAGGCAGATTCTCGTTAGTGTCACCATTACAATTAGATACAAGGCAAATCAATATTTCCAGTTGACATCTATCAAGAAAAATCTATGAATTCTTCATTAAATTCATAATCGTGATGACAAAAGGTTCATTCATTCCAATTCCATGTTGAACAGGTTTCCAGGACCTGGTCCAAGATTTCGCAGCTTCCCTCCCCGGTTTCAAGGTCCCCCAGGACAGCACATGCGAGGTGGACCCAACAACATGCCCCAGCGTCCATTCTTTGGCAGGCCTCCGCCGGACAGGATGTTCCGGCCGGACCGCCCGCCACCATTTGATCAGAGCATGCCCAGGGGTCCCCCACCCCAGGGCCCCATGGGTATGCCTCCATTCATGAATGTGAGTAAAAAAGAAAGCCCTCCACATTGAATATACTTTGCCCATCAACCCAGAGCACGTTTTGATCATCTTCTTTGCTTTGCTTCTGAGTTTGAACCTTCTGAATCCAACAAAACCAATTTTTTGCCGTGACCAAACAATCCAAATGTACATGTAATTTCCAAAGGAGCTCTAGACATAGGAGCTCTGTTTCATATGTTATTGTTCTTTCATTAAATGTGGCACATTGTTGTAGTGTTTATTCAGCTTTGAAATAAACAACACTTTTGAAACTAACCATGTTGCTTCCAATGATTACTGCGACAATTTTTCTTAAGTTTCAACGTGTCTCCTTTGCCTTTGGTACAGAGGCCCCCACTATTACCGCCCCCGTTTGGCATGCCTCCGCCCCTGATGGCTAACCTCCAACAGCCGCAAGCAGCATCAGCAGGTAACCAGCCGGCCACGCCTGCGGCAGCAGCTAGTCCCGCCGCCGTGGCTGCCTTGGATCCCAACCAGGACTTCTGGGTGGAGCATACCACGCCCGAAGGCAAGGTGGGTAGATCTACCAATTTCCACCTGGGTACGACGAGTTGATGAACAACCATGGAATAAGACGGTGGACAGTTGGTGGGTTCAGCTGTGAGTCGTAGGGAGTATTCTCTAATACTTGGCCTTTCCTTCCTTGTTTAGACATACTACTATCATGCCAAGAAGCGAGAGTCCGTCTGGACCAAGCCGGAGAATGTGAAGATCGTCAAGCAGACCGACCTGCAGGCGCTAGCGGCTGCCGCCGGGATAGCGACGACCACTGCCACATCAGCAGCCGCCACAGTGTCAAGCACGGCGGGTGTGACTGCTGTGACCAGTAGCACTGCTGGGACGGTGCCGGCTCTTGCTGGTGCATCAGCAAACTCCGGGAATCCAGCAGCAGCAGTAGCTGCAGCAGCCGTAGCCGTAGCCACAGCGGCAAAGACGGCAGGAGTGACAGTGACTCCTGTGGCAGATGCCCCACAAGGTATGTTCAAGGTTTAAATTTCACAAAAATATACTGGTTCATCGGGCTGAAAATCCACTTTCTTGAAATATTTCTGTATTTTTTTTAAGTTCAGTAGTGCAGAGACTGTTCAAAATCAGTTTTTTTTTAAATTAAATTTTTCTCTCAAAGAAGGTGGAGAAGAAACTTTTAACTTTCTGTCTATTTCTTTATCTTTAGAACTAAACATTAAGTTTGTTTGAAGTGATACAGAACAGGTACAATGATTTCTTGTTGATATGTTTTGTCTCAGTATCCGTGAAATAATGGGCTGCTCAAGTATGGAGGAAAGTAATCGTAAAGTGATCAGCAAAAGCCACTTAAAACCAAATTTTGCATGACATTTTTTCTGAAATCAAGATTTCAGTTGGAAAAATTAGATTTGAATGAGATTTTTTTCAGGAAAGCTTATACTCGTGCAGGCTTTCAAACTTCTGCACGGAGCCACCAGCATTCAACTGTTAGTTGAAACATCATCTCAGAAACAACAAATGATGCAGAGTTGAATTGTTAATTTTTGAATTTTTCTGATCTGGACAGCTTCCCCAGTTCAGGCTTCCCCAGCCTCTACCGCCCAAGCCACACCCAGTGCCACCACCCCAACCCCAGTCACTGTGGCTAACATCGCTGCTTCACCAACAACGGCTAAACCACAGCCGCAGCAGGCAGTGCTTCCGCCGCAGCAGCAGCAGCAGCAACCACCTCCCTTGATGCCCTTCCCTGGGATGGTCCCCCCCATCGTACCCGGCCAGGGTCCCGGGATGCCTGCTGCCGGGCCCGGTCCAGCCGGCATGCCGCCTCCACCGTTCCACCTCTTCCCTGCCCACATGGGGGGCATGAGGGTGCCCGGTGCCCTGCCTGGAATGCCTCCGCTTGTGCCTTTGCCAGGTACTGGTCAGAATGGCTTCATTTCCTAAGTTTGGTTTAGATGAGCCCAACCCTCCTTGAACCTTCCAAATCTGTGAGATGGTTTTGGGAGGATATTGTTGGATTGAAAACAGGAAAGCCTAGTCTCTGGTTCATAACATAAGGCATGATGCCGTGGAAAGAAAAAGTTCAAAGAATGTACTATTTGGCTTCTGCTTTAGTTGAATATTTTGTTGGGTTTGGGAGGGTTTCCAACAAATTCCAAGGGATTAAAGATAAATGAATCTTTTAATATAAACTCTTCATTTCCAATATGCTTGTATTCTGTGGACCCATAAGATTTTCACAGTGAATGAAATCTTACTCCCTGCAGGTATTCCAGGTGGTTTCCCTCCACGTGGCAATCCGATGTTCCGACCCCCCTTCGCCCAGCCCCCAGTTGGAGGCCCTCCGGCTGCTGCCGCAGCCCCTAAAAGCATCTGGGCGGAGTACAAGACGGCGGACGGCCGGCCCTACTACTACAACACCCGGACCATGGAGTCGACATGGGAGAAACCCAAGGAGCTGCAGGACCAAGAGGAGGCCAAGAAGGAACCGGGTGAGACGCTCGTGTCCGGTTTGCGGGAGATTGCTGGAAATGGTCCTCAAGACAAAGCCAAAATTCGGATGCGTAATTCTTCAAGATTTTTCAAGATCATCAGGGTTTTTGCTACTTTTTTTATGCTCTATGCAAAAGTAGTACAAGGTTCAGGCATGCAACTTTTCCTCGGATCAGCTGATTTCCTTGTTTTTCACTTCACACTTATGCCACTGAAAAATAAAAAACACCGTACGTAGTCTTCTCAAGATCGGAATTTCCTCGTCCAAGTTCAAGTTCATGCTTGAAGATTGAAATACGTGTATTATCGGAGTTATTCGAGAGAGAACACATGCTCTGAAATCTGTTTCAAGCTTTGAAAACACATTTCATTGTTACAACTCCTCTGTTGGATGTTGCTTGCGTTTCTTTTCATCACCCAATCCCAACCCTGAAAGCGGCAAGTGCAAAAGTGTATAAAGTTGCACCCATTTACTGTTAAAGTGAAGTAACACAGTGGCCCGGTGCTGTACCGAATTGGTCCCGTTCATTTCGTGCTTGTCTTCAAAACTATTCCGTTCCACAGCCCAAGAGAAGGACGCAGCCAGAGCAGCAGGAGACAAGGAAGAGGCCGAAGACCAGGAAGAGAAAAAGGAAGACGAGACCAAGATGGAGACGGAGGACGCGAAAGAAGAGACCAAGGAGGCAGAGACTAAGGTGTGTCATGTGCCCCGCCCCCAGGTGCCCTTCCCGCCATTATCTTCACCGTCACTGCTCTGACCATCACGACCGGTTATGACTTTGCCTATCTTTGACTCAAGCTATAACGCCCCAACCAGTTGTGCCTGGTTCCTTCACATTTCATTCCATTTTGATACAGGCAATTAATCACCAGTGATGCTTTTCTCAACCCTCACAGCAGGAGAAGACGGTCGTCGAAGAGAAGAAAACAGACGAGGAACCAGTGGACAAGTCCAAACCCATCGCCACTAAGCCCATCCCTGGGACACCCTGGTAAGCTCTTCAGAGATTTTTGTCGTGGGGAGGCTCCTCGGTCAGCTCAAAGTTCAAGCACTCTCCCCATCTTTGAAACCTGCCAATTTCCCAAATGTGAACAAGGTCCCTGTCTGATCTGCATAACATTGATCATGCACACTGCCGGAGACAAGGTTTTCATTTTATGTGACCAAGAAAACCAACGAATATTCAACAATGGATGCGGCATTGGAATATTTCCTGAAACATAGCTGGACACGTTTCTCTTGTCTGCACAGGTGCCTGGTTTGGACTGGCGACAGCAAGGTGTTCTTCTTCAACCCCTCTACCAGGATGTCGCTATGGGAACGACCTGACGACCTGTACAACCGCGCCGACGTGGACAGGATGATCCTGGAGCCCCCGCCGGGAAAGGAGAAGGAGAAACAAGAGGAGAATGCAGGTATAAACTGACCTCCGTTGGTCTGACTTGGGGAGATTAGGTTCTGCCACTTTTCTGCCGCTGCCGGGAATGGAACAGCTTCTAGATTTTATCAAATTGAACCAAGTTTTAATGCAGAGGCCTTGTTCTAAAGAGTGTAATTTTGCATGTTTTGAAAGTTCTACTTGGACCATTTTTCCAAATGTGGACTTTGTCTCTATCTTCGGTTCCACATTGTTTGCTCCTTTCGTCAGTCTTTCATTTTTTCAGTGGAGTATTCTGATAGATGGGCTGCAGCTGAATCTGTTGTGTGTGGCTAGGTCTGTGCCTTTACTCCGTTGGAAATATATCAGGAGACACTGAACATAGACGTAGCCATAGCTCTGGGAGCCAATTATGGAAGCAGCTGCCGAGGAGCATTTGATCTCGCAAGACATGCCCTTTCTGGTCTTATCCCACAGCCAAGAAGCGAGCGGAGGACTCTGTGTCGGAGGACCAGCAGCCCAAGGCCAAGAAGAAGAAGAAGGCGTCCACCTCTGAGTCATCCCCCGAGCCGGCGGACCCTCTCAAGGAGGCTGCCCTGGAGGCGGAGATCAAGGCAGCCCGGGAGAGGGCCATCACCCCGCTGGAGATCCGCATGAAACAGTTCATGGACATGCTGCTGGAAAAGGGGGTAGGTTAACGGTCCTTCCCAATTCCTATTGCCAGATTTCTCAGATGTGATCAGTAACAACCTTTTGCTCGGAGCACATTGGTTAAGAGAAAAGTCAGTTGAGGACCCCCTGGGAGGAAGGCAGCTTGGTATTTTGGCCAGTGATCAAGTGATCCGGGAAACGTGCTTTCAACAGTTGTGCTGAATGCTCACTGAATGGCTTTTGGTCGTTGTACCTTTTCTTCACATGCGATTGAATGGGAGTTGTGAACTCTGTGGCTTTTAATTGTTTTAAATCTTCTGACAATTTGCAAGGCTAAAACTGGTCACTGTTTCTCCAGAAATTTAGGGATTTTGAGGAATATTAAAGTAAACCATCCCACTTTTTCCGCGAGCCGTAGTGAAATAAAAGCATATTGATGTTAGTATTTGTCCAAGAAGTTTTCTGGACAGCAGGTGCTTGTGCATATTTTAAGAATGTTTTTACATCATTGTTTTCATGTTCTGATGGCATTTTTAAGTGATGAGATAGCGCTCTCATTGATCGTGTCTTCACGCAGGTGTCGGCCTTCTCGACTTGGGAGAAAGAGCTACACAAGATCGTCTTCGATCACCGCTATCTCCTCCTGAGCCCCAAGGAGCGCAAGCAGGTATTCGAGAACTTTGTCAAGAACCGGGCGGAAGAAGAGCGCAAGGAGAGGGCCACCAAGATCAAGCAGAGCAAAGAGGACTTCAAGGCCCTCTTGTCAGATGCTAAGCTCGGACCCAAGTGAGTGCAGCTAGGCGATTCAGTTCTTTTAAATATCCCGGTTTGCAGTTTCTTTATTTTGTCCTAGCCACTTTCTGGCCCGCAATTGGGTGCAGTCGTTGACCAGATTTTCTTCGACTCAAGTCGACTGATGTCACTAGAAGTTTGCCAAAATGCTAAACCCAGATCTAAGTCAGATTAACGAGGCAATTTGTGGAGTTTCCAGCTCAGTGTGTTCTTTCTTCAGTGTGCTTATCCCGTCGCAAACATCACTTCAAAACTTGTTCAAATTTTCTTAGATGTGGGCATCTTACATCAAGAAGAGTTTGCCAAGGAGACTCACATTTCGCCTGTCAGAAGTTTGGATTTGCCTCCACAAATCTAACTTTCATGTCACCCCTCCACACCCGTTTCTTAAACCAGGACTTCCTTCAGCGAGTTTGGCCAGAAGTACGGTAAGGATGCCCGATTCAAGGGCATAGACAAGATGCGTGAGCGGGAGAGCTTATTCAACGAGTACATTGTCCAGCTCCGCAAACAGGCCAAGGAGGAGAGCTCTCACAAGGCCGAGAAGGTAAGCGTTCCCTTGTCCGTTGTCTGGAGCCTGTATGTCATGTGTGGTGTTCAGCATGCTTGGGCAGCAGAGAGCCAGTTTATAATCAGTTGTGCCATGGGCGCTCAAAAAGGTTGTGATTTGACCACATGGGAAAAACAGAAGCACAATGCCATTGTTATGTTAGATTTTACAAACTTGATGTGGTCGATGGCTTGTCATTGACATTTTCATAAAGTGTTTGAAAACAAGGCCTTTGTATTAATTATGAAATTGAAATGAGGAAGTCAAATATGTATCAAAGTACCAGAAAAACTTGAAGAGCTTCAGAAAGATATCCTTATGTCTGTTTTGTTTTGACTCTGCTGATTTAGCTGAGCTTTAGCAGGGCATGTTGCATGTAAGTGGGAAATGATAATTCAACCAAACTGTGATTAAACACTGAGATGCAACCATCGGCCAACAGAATATAAATTGGCTTATGAGCTAGTGTGGGCCAAACATTCATGCAATCAATTTGAAGCTCTCCCCCACCCCTAATCAATTTAGAGGAATATATAAGACATTTTGTTCTGGAATTGAGGAGTCAAACAAGTGGCCCAGCCGCACTTACACTGCTGAGTTTGTCAACTGATGGCCTTGAGCAAGTAACCACTTCATCAAGAAGGAGCCCTCATGCCTGACTGGACCTTGTTGAGTTGTTTTAATCGACGACTTGAGTCTGCAAGCGGTTCACTTGAAATGATGTATGTTTGGCCCATATGGTTTGCTGCTCATCAAACTGTCATTTGTCTTGAGGGTACTGAAATGGTTTTGAAGTAATAACGGATTCATAAATGGCCGATTTAAAAGTGTTTCCACCATAAGTGATTCTTACATTTCAGATACTTTTTGCTCACAACGCCTGAATCCAGTCTTAGAGGTTCGAATTTTACATTGGTTGAAAAAAAGCTTAACATATTCCATTTGCTTAGCTTGAAAAGACTGGCTGTATTTGCCCAAGAGTTATTTCTCACCCTAGAAATGTGGAACAACGAAAGCCCTGGCGGAAAGTAGATTGAAAACTCAAAGACAAAGTTCAATTCCATATCTGCGGACGAATGTAATGGACCATTTCAATATCCTCTGGTGTTGCATGTTAAATTTGCCTTACACAATGCAGCATTCTTAAACTGATTTAATGACGATTGTGTGTGATCATGAAATTCTTTTCATCACACCGATGAGTTTTCAACTCATTGGTAACTTCTTTTGCAATTTCATTTACCCAGAATTTTTTGCAGGTTTCGTCAGTGTCAAATGCATTCAAATATTTGCTGGTTCTCTGTCATATTGTTTGATGTAAACACAAAGAGATTTCTTGAAAAATGTATAATTATTTCACCTTTCGTTCAGTTGCATTTTAAAAAGTACCACTAACATTACCTTTGTTGCAGGATGTGCGACTTAGTTTTTTCACTGAAGCTTTACCCAATAATGGAAAAAAATGTGTTACTAGTGATGAATGCCGGTATACTGATTGTTACAGGTTCAAAGGTTATGCTAATTTTATGCAAATTCTTTGAGATCAATCATGTATTGCGATGTGTGTCTAACCACCATTATTCATTTTGCAGATTTTATAACCCACATTTGATTGTTGAGATTACTTTTACAAATGTCCCTCTGTGGAGTGTTCTTCCATGTAACCTGTTTTCTTATTTACAGGCAAAATGACCAATCACAGAAACAAAACGTGAAATACTGCATTTCTAACATCAAATGTTTTCACCTTTTGCTTCTCAGTTCTCCAAACATTTGTACGCATGTGAATATTCTGAATGAAATTATGAGAATGTTCATGCCCCTGGCTGATAAATTAGCTTGATTTTGTTCTCATATTTAATTCATGTGAATATCAAATTGTCAAACTGGTAATAATTTCGAGATGTTTTTGTTTCTGTAGCAACATGTTCCAGGATGCCTTGTGTGACAGAAGAAAAAAATGAACCAATAAATGCAATGGTATTAAACTTTATCCAAGGAAAATGCATGTGTCACAATTACAGAAACAAGTCATGAAGCTGGAATATTATTTTGCCATTCCAATGATCTTTTCATTAGATTTTCCCTGCCCTGTTGCAGTGAGAACACATTTCCAATGTTTGTTTACAATTTCTAACCAAAAAAACAGATTCTGTCCTCACTTGTGACCCCTGACCTTTCCCCGTGACCTCTCTGACCTCTCCTTTGTGTATTTTATCCAAACACAAGCCTTTTAAAGAGCTTAGCCGCCTTCCTGTGTATAGAGTCGCCCGAGTGGATTGTCCTTGCCAGGTGCATTGTGGGGGAGAAAGCAAGCGTGCAATGCATTGTGGGCGTTTAAGGCTCTCATCCAATTCGGCACTTTCGATGCAATTGAGCCGGTACTGATTTTTTTCCTTCTTCCTTTGTGACAGTGCTTTATGCTAACGTTTCCCACACGCAAGACTCTTAAAGTTGACAGCTTGCCAAGAAAATGTTTAAAAATGGCAAACTGGTGATGCCTTAAAACACAAGTCTTCGTTGTCTAAAGTCACAAATTTTAGATCAGTCAAAGTTGTCCCCCAAGAAAAATTGACTCACTATTTGTACATGTAATTTCATTTTTGTAAATGCAAGATGACACTTAAGAGTCTTGTGTGTGCAGCATCTCCAAGTTTAGGACTTGGCTCCCATAGCGATGGTAACCATGGAGATCTCATCGAAGATTTCCAACATAGGATGCCACAAGCAGATAGTGCTAATACAAGATCTTGACCATGGACTGCATCGGTAAAATCAGATGATAGATGATACAGACTAGCATTTTTCTAAACCAAAATAAGTATATAGACAAGAAAGGGTTGTTGTTTTTTTTAAGATGCAGTTAAAACAAAACTGTAATTGAAAGTTGAAATATTCTTGTAAAAACTTGGTCCATCTGCTTGGCATGTCTTCATGCTACATCTAAAAACACATCTGTTTTTAAGATTGTCACGCTAAGATTATATTTTCTCTTTTTTTTGTGGGAGTGGCTAGGGAGTAGTAGATTAATCATTTTGATAGTTACAACAGTTAAAAGATTCTACTATGAGGGTTGTTTGTTCTCCCAACTTCAAATCAATGTCATATTAGCTCTTTATTTTCATTTTTTTTTGGGGGGAGGGATTTTTGCCAACCACAAAGGAGCATTGCAAGAATTGCCAACTATGGACATTAATCTCAATTGACAGAGTACCTTCCATTAACCCTAACACTCCTCAGTCCTCCAACAGGTGAAGGATTGAGGAGGGTTAGGGTTAAGATTCACTGATATCTGGACACAATTATCAGATTCATGTCATTTGAAATGGACTAATTCATATTTTGTTTAGTTCCTAGGGTGATTTATTGGGCAAAACTATAATAAAGTCTTCTACTTGATACTGCTTTGTGTGGTTATGATGTATTGGGAAATGATTTGATTTTCACTATGCTGTATTCGTCACAAATTCAGAACCACTCTCCTACATCTGTCTTCCAATTGTTTCTATTCATTCATGTTTGCCAGGAAATTAAGGAGAAAAAATGCCAATGCCGTGTATCACACTGTTGCTTGAAATAATGAACGTTACTTTTACTAACAGTGTGTTTCAAATAAAGGTTACTGAACATGAGAATTTAATGAGCCTTTTTAATCAGATTTCGGGAACATATTGTTGAGTTATGTGAAAGAATGCTTATTACCCTTTGTTTTTTATTGAATGCCTTTGAGTATGTGAAGGTAAATTTATATGTTTTCAAACAGCCGTAATCTATTTTATCACTTGGCAGCCATTTTGTTTTTTATTTTCCCAGCATACTTTTAGCCAGATACACCATGGTCCAAGCATGGACATCGTTTACAAAATTCTGAACCTGCATCACTTTTGTACTGATGAAATGTCACCAATGGCAATTTTACTGTACCAAATGCAAAGGCAATGGTTTGCTCACTTGCCATTGTACCTATCCATGCCAAGTGTGAATTTTTTATAGAAGTCCATGGGTTTAAGTACCCCATTGCATGTATTATACACCATGGGTTCAGGGAACCAAACCAAGATGGCTGCCACGTGAAAAAGAGTGACTGTTAATCCACATCTTTACTACATGTATGTTACTTTGTCTGACAGCTTTTAGATACATCTGGTTAACGTTCTCAATATCTTCCCCCCTCTCCCTTCCCCTTCCCTTAAATCTCTTCTCGCAGCTGAGGACAGAGTTCTTTTCCCTGCTGGACGAACTGAAGAACTTGGACAGCAAGTCGCGCTGGTCAAAGGTCAAGGACAGCATCCACCACGACCCCCGCTACAAGGCCGTTCACCACAGCTCCCAGCGAGAAGACCTGTTCAAGGAGTACATCAACAGAAAATCAGAGGTAGGCTTGATGGATGTACTTGGTGGTTCCTTCCTGTTTAAGATCAGCGTGACGTGCTCACTCGTCTCTACCACCCTAACAGGCTGCAGGGTGGGGCTAATTTCTGTGGACAGCGTGATATGATTTCCCCCAATCCTCATTGCCCACAGTTTGTATGAACGACAGCATGGGTTACCTTTTTCGTGTGTGCCACGCTATGTGCGCACAGAATGCCCGTACCTTGCTTATGTTCTCAGCTGCACTGAGCCTGCACAAGAGTGTTCCGCCGTGTGACAGTAAGCACTTCAGAGGTCATTTAACGCACGGGTCTGTGCTTGCAGGTGAAGGACGAAAATGCCGAGAAGCAGAAGCGAGTAGAGACCAGCCTGAGGGAGAGAGAGAAGGAGGTTCAACGGACCCGCAACGAACAGCAGAAGGAGCTGGAGAGAGAAAGGGGACAGTTCAAGAAGGAGGAAGCCATGCAACACTTCAAGGCCCTGCTGACCGATCTGGTAAGGACACTGACCGCAGACTTGGAGATCTATCACAAACGATGCTGTAAAGAGGAGGGACGTTGAAGCTCTGCCAAAGTGTTGTTTCACACTAGGGTGCACAGTTCAGGTTGTCAGACTTGCTCTAGGAATTTGGTTCGATTCTGTGAATACGGGGTTTGATTGGATTGGAACCATTGTCATAGTGTTACTCGATCCTCTGAGATTGATGCACGGATTGCTGCTATATCTTCAGATGTTTGTTCTGAAAGAGCAGGCCGCACAATTCCACGAATGGATTCCATGGCAGATTCCATACCAAATCCTTCACTGGCTTCTTTGACATGTTCTCATAGGTGCGGGATTCGGAGATGACTTGGCGCGATGCCAGGAAGCAGCTCAAGCGCGACCACCGCTGGGAGCTGGCCTCCCTGCTAGACAAGGAGGAGCGGGAACGCCTCTTCAATGGCCACACCTCCTCCCTGGTCTACCGCAAAAAGGAGAAGTTCAACGAACTCTTGAATGAGACCCCAGGGGTTAGGCACTTCATGAGAAGCAGGATGTCCAAATTTTGAATGAATATGATTTTTTTTTTAGAATTATTATTGAATGACTTCTCAAGACATGATTATTGGTAGGCATCTGAAGTCTGAATTCAGCTCTATTGTCATGCCAATCCTTACTTCTGTAGGTGACCTTGACCTCCACTTGGAAGGAAGTGCGACGACTCATTAAGGAGGACCCTCGCTACACCAAGTTCTCGTCAAGCGACAGAGTGAGTAGAATGTGTAAAATGAACTGAAAACTTCCCTTGACTACGATACGCACCTTCGTGTGATGCGAGCACATTTCTTGACCCAAATCACTGGACTTGTTTCCCACACCAACAGAAAAGAGAACGAGAGTTCAGCGAATACATCAAGGAGAAGTACCTTCAAGCCAAGATGGACTTTAGAACGCTGCTGACCGAAACCAGGATCATCACCTACAAGTAAGTTGCTCCCTGCCATTGGACTAACCATGCGACAGTACGTCTCAAAATCTATCCCTTCATGGCTCAGTCTACCATTTACTTCTTGTAAAAGTAACAACTGTTGGCATTTATAGACTGCTCTTTTTAAAAAGTACAGAATAGCACTAAAAAAATGTAATTGCAGTGCTTGAGGCCGCTCAGCAACCTACCAAGTTTCATAGCACTGCTCAAAGTTTTCTTACAGTTTGAGTACCTCACAAGTACTGGACTTGTTTTTCGCCAATCATCACAAGCACTGTCACACTTACTTTACTACAAACAGTGGCAAATGATAACCTGTACAGGAAATACGCATAGAGTCTGGTTTGCATTAGGATCAAAGTACTTGAATACAGCGCTAGCTACGATCAGGCATAGTTTCTATCCGACTCTATTCCAACCTCTCCTGTGCAGATCTAAGAAGCTGATCCAGGACTCGGATCAGCACCTGAGAGACATCGAGAAGGTCCTGGAGAAGGACAAGCGCTACCTGGTACTTGACTGCGTGCCTGAGGAGCGTCTAGAGATGATCATGTCCTACATCCGAGAGCTGCACAAAAAGGGGATACCCCCACCCCCTACGGCCTCTGAACCCTCCCGCCGACTCATCCCCAAATAAATGACGACACAGTTCAAACACCCACTTCTGTTCCAGGAGGCTTTTACTTTTAAGTTTGATGATCTAAATCAGTAACAGCCTTATTCAGGAGAGAAATGTTTTCCTTTGCTCTGAGGCCAACATAGCTTACAAAGCCTCATTCAGAATTTAGCAATTCAATTTTTTTTTAATGTATGAAAGCCAGCTGGATGGTGTTAGCGATATTTGCAGTTTCTGAAAGAAGGAAGCCTTCTGAGATTTCACCTGCAGCTTCCTTTGATTAGAATTTTTATGTTGTACTGACATGCTCCTTACGTTCACTCGCTGTCCAACCTATTTTGAGGTGGGTCTGAAGTATTGTTTTCCGCCAGTAATCCCCTAGGTTAACCAGACATCATCCTCTTTTTTAGCCTCACTTCTCGTGGTGTGTTTATCTTTCCTATCTCTTAATCTCTTAATTTCGGTTGTGAAAAAGGAGGCTATATCTTGGAGCATTCCCATTTCGGAGGGAGGGTGAACAGTAATTGTAATGGCATTGTGATGAGGGCTTATTTACAAAGGTAAGACAGTCAATGAGATCATCAAATGTTTTGTTAATTTGAGAGTAACTTGGACGGTACCTGAGCTGAACAAGGGACATTTTAATGAATAAAAGGAGAAACAGAACATGCCCGTTGTTGACTTTTTTATTATCACATTGTGATTGATTCCTTTTTTAATAGAAAAAAAATCGCCGAGTTTCTTTATGATGTTATGTCTTGCTAGTTTTATAAATGTAAATTTGGTTTGGTTTAATGCAACCAAACTGTTCCATATTTTTTCTTTTTTCTCTGTATTCATTCAATCGTAAATGTGAAATTTTAGGAATTTCTTTAAGTTTGGACTCTCAGTCACGAGTTTTCAAATAATAAATTCCATTTTGATGTGCGAAGCCACGAATTGCAGTAATATATTGTAGAAAAGTCAAGTTGCTGTACTCGTAAAACATTTATTAGATATCGTGAAAATTAAGCAGTTTCAAAGAATTTGTTCGATCACGAATCCTGGTCTGTTTTCCAATCAAATTTCACTGCAGTGGTTTATTCCTCTACAATTTGTGTTCCCTCGGATGCACCGTCCTTCGTTCCGACATCCCCCTCCCCACTTGGCCCCTCCCCCTTCTCATCTTCCGCTGCCTCGCTGTCCGTGCTGCAGCGCTGCGTGGGGCAGCTCTTTGGTCTATCCTGGGACTTGGCCGCAGCGGTGTCGAAGGTGGCGCGGTACGTGGTGTCAAAACTGATCATACCGGCGGAGGAGGAGTGTGGACGGGTGGCCGGGCGGCAGGACTTAGCGGGCGGGCCCCGCACACCCTTGAAGTGGCTGGTGAAGGTCGACTCGCCGCTGAACGGGGTCTCGGGATATTTGTACTTCTCAATTATCTGCAAATTCATTTATCAATGAGCATTAAATATAAATGATACATGCACAATACAATACATATACGTGTATTAGACGTCAGAGAGAAATGATATTTCGGATAGGTTTAAAAATCACTTCGAGGAATATAAGTTCTAGGTTGAAAACAACATTCCATATTTTTCTACCTTGTACGAAGCTGGTCGTTTGACCCCATCCCAAGCGATGAAGGTAGATCGGTACTCGGTCCGATCATCGAATGGGCCTGACTCGCCTGCACCCAGGTTGTTGTCGTACTTGTAGGGCGTGGCACGACACTTAAATAGGGCCTTGGGCATAAGATAGCTGGGATCTTCGAAATCACTCTATTAACATTGGAAGGAGTAAGTCAATGGATGGGTATAGATCTCAAAATGGTTATCATTTGATCTTTCGATCGATCATTAAATCTTTCGCTTACTTAATGTATATCAGATTTTTGAAAAAGTAATGCCTAATCGAATTTTCTGGTCCTAGGTGTATTTTGGCATAGTTTCGTATATTTTTGCATAGTTTGATATGACGTCATTATGACACAGTTTGTATACCTGGTATGACGTCACGAGCTGCAGTTTGCCACGATTTGGTATGTAGCCTTGGCGTTCAGCCCAAGGTAGATGTTCTCGTTTAGGTATTGGCCAAGCTTGGTAGGCCATTCGTTGGGTGGTGCGATCGTCAAATTCTGAAGCTGTAGAAATGTATAAATCAGTCCAGATGCGACATCAGAACTTAACTTAATCTGATACAGTTTAATTCACTCCAGACAACGAGCGTGCATTTTTTTTTACAGCAGTGCTGGTAAGAATTCTTTGAACTTAGGTGATAGAGGAAATTGAAAGTCAGTAAACTTGTTTAATTAAGGGGGGACACTGATGCGACATTCCACTCATCAGAAGAGCCATCAGACTCACCACTGGGCGAGTAGTCGTTCTTTGGCTTGTAGCTTTGCTCTTTCTTCACCCCCCTGTGCTCCGGAAAGTCGCGCCGAAAGATGGTCAAATCGTCGAACGGGGCGCTGTTGAATTTGTACTCCTCCTTGGGCTTGAAGACCTCAACGCTTGGTGGCGCCTTGGGCGTGAAGTCGGCTCGGTGAGTGGTCTCATCGGCGAAGCGTGCCGTGGGTTGGATAGGTTTCTCTGCCGGCTTGGTGGACTTGGCCGGTGAGACATTTCCGTGGTCTATGTAGTCCTCCTGGAATAGCAATTTGAGGGATTTTTCAAGGAGACATATCATATTTATACAATTTTATGTGAAAGATGAAATGTACATGTAAGAAGTAACCTAAATTAACCTGGGATTAGGCCTACTTTAGATATCTTACCTTGACAGTAGTGGTCGTTTGAAATTTCTTTCCAGGATTTCCAGACTTCAGATTGTCTTCTACTACTTTCACTTGCACCTTACACTCTTTCGTCTGCTCCGGGGTCCAGGCCGTGTACGTCTTCTCGTACACCGTCTTGCTATCGAACGGGCTGGGGGTGGACAGCGCCGCCTCCTTGGGCTTGCACGCGGCCGGCCGGCTGGCGGTTTTCTCGGTGAAATCCGTGTCGTAGGTCGTCTCCGTCAGCATTTTGGCGGACGGGGCATGGTAGCCCTTCCTGTTCAATGTCGCCTTTGGTCGTTGCGTAGTCTTAATACCAAAAAAGTGGATTGATAAAGAAGATTTCTTTAAAACACTACCGTAATGGTCCTGAAACCGTGAACAACTATACCTGGTCTTCACGTCCATTTACATCTTTATACCAGCTTCACTCATTTAGGTAAATTTTGCGGGAGAGAGGTCCTAGGTGTTCGGATAAGTCCTATTTTTTTCCACTTCATCTTTTTTGAATTATTTGCTGTTTTCTTTCCTTCCCTTCCCAATAAGTTTCCATATTCTTATACCTTGTTCTGCAAAGTCGTGTTCTTGTTCGTGTAAACTTGAACAAAATTAAAAACACCAGAAAAGACCTTGTGAGCCACAAAGGTGCACTGGTTGGTGGTCTTGAGCTTTGGTCGGCTTGTGGGGACCGGTTTCTTGGCGACTGGACGCATGCTCTCCCGACGCGGCTGCCATGGCCATGCTACATACGCCTAAAATGATGAAAATCGTCATTAATTGAGCTGTGAGAGACGACTATATGACTATTCTGTAACGCACGTGAATGTTCTCGGGTTGGTGTAAGTAATGAATACAGTTTTCAGCTTCATTAGAAATTCAAGAAAAAATTTCCGCAGTCTGACAGTCTGCAGCAATTTGAAAAAGACTTCACAGACTGCAGGCTGAATGCAGTGGCCAAGATTTTGTTAAGTGACTGAACATGACGATCTCATTCGGATGGTCATTCTACAATATTCCTTGAAAACTCTACCACAGTGAGCTTGAATTGACACTGAGTTTCTTACGTCGCCTACCTCCTGATATTCGGATAATTTCACCTGTGTCTGGATCTGACGGGCGCGGATGTTGCTGATATCCTTGTTCAGAGTACGAACCTTGCGACTGCCAAATCAAACAAATTCGAAACAGTTAACTCCAGCAGTAACTTTAAAATGATCACTATATCTTTCAGTTTAGACGGATACTTGAACTTGAGAAAATACCTTGAGAGGGTTTATGCACAATGGCATAATTACGTGTGAGAACTGCTCTCTTATAGAAAAAAATTAAAAATACAATTGAGGGGGTTAACTTTTTTGGTCATGAAAATTTTGCTCATATCATTTTATGCCAAGTTAATACTCGGGTATCCCCCCCAAAAATTAGAAATGTCATTTCAGCTTTCGTAAGTTTTCTTTGCTGATAATTTCGCGATTAAGATAAAGCTAAAACTGACTACTTACTTCATTTGTGTGACAGTCATTTTGTTCCAATATTTGAGAGCACCGTCGGAGTTTCTTCCGGAAAACCTCGTTTCTTTTGATGCTTTTATGCTTCAGATGTTGAAAATAATGAACCTATGGCTATTACATACATCTACAGCAACGTAGCTGCGCACGGTAAACAAAAACAACGCGTTGAGCTGTTACAAATGCGTCACAATGTGTTCAATTTGCGTTACCTTCCTTTCATTGTTGCGTATGTGCGCGTTTCGACTGGCAAAGTTTTTAAATAATGCTCTTTGAACCACATGCATTTCTCTGAAAAATGCCGCTTTGACCCCCTTTTTAGGCCCAATAGCGGGGGATGCAAATGATTACGTTTGGTGCCACAGATGTATGGAATTACGGTTCGTTTGATATTGATGTACATCACCGGCGTATAGAACTTCGAGTCTAGTCAAGTGTAGCAATATTCAACAAACTCAGTGCAGCTATGGCCAGGCGTGCGGCGATAAAAAACTATTGACCTTGATACTTGTGTTATTTTTTTTAAATGAATAGTGCATTCGAGCGCCATTTTAAAATATCTGTAGACGTCTGCAGTGCCATAATTTGTTGTCGCCACTTATTCCTAAGGCGAGTTCATGAATTATAGGCTTCAGTCCTCCAGAACCTTGGCCGCATGAAAAGATTTTGTTCTTTTTGGGGGGAGGGGGGCCATCGGTTAGAAAAAATTTAAACAAACTAAAGGACAATTTTTCGGCTCTCATCTTGTTTAAAAAAATTGAAGGAGTCCTAAGCATTTGACAGTTCATTTTTTCAAATATATTTTGTACTTTTTTGGGGTCATTTTCATGAATGACTGAAATCGATACCACGAAATGTTTGCCATTGTGGTCAGACCAGCGCCACCAATAGCTGAAGTTCAACCAATATGGCGGCGTCCATGGAAAGCGAAATTGCCGATGGCGGTTCTGCAAGGAATACCCTGATAGTCCGTCACCTACCGAGCTCTCTGAGCTCTGCAGAGAAGCAAGACTTCCTCAAGTACTTTGGGGCGGTGCATGTGAGGGTCTTATCTAACTCTGGACGAATGGTAAGGCAAAGACCTTTCACAAAATGCTGCCCAGTTTCCGGACACGTGCTTTCCTTACTGTCTGCAGTTGATTGTACTTTACTTTGTCATGTTTGTAGGCCTAACGTTAGTAGGCCTAGTAGATTACAGTTTAATTTCACAAGCATGGGAAGGAAGCCAATGACAAATTTGTTTTCTGTACATTTTCAGTTGTGAAAATCTTTTGAATGGAGGTCAGGACCTTTGACCAACTTAACATCATCAATCAAAGTGTCAATGTCATTGTTTGTTCTCGTTTACGATTTAACCTTCAGAAACATACAGCATTTGCAACTTTCACAGACCAGAGTGCCACAGCACAGGTAAATATACACACAGTCTAGTCAATCAAAATTAGGGAAATGCTAAAGTTGCATAATACACCCTGAGGACGATGAGAGCATGTACCCGTACCCACATACCCATCTAATTTGTGGGAGCGGGACGGATGTCAGACCCACAGTTCTGGGGCTACATAGCACCCATGACACTGGTTTGTATCAGTACCATACCTCTTCCAAACAGAGATCTACCGCAATCCTCTCTTATGTCTACCTCTGCCATGCAAGGCTTCAAGTCTTATCTACATGTATGTATGTTATTGAATCTACTCATCTTGTCAAATGGCATGCGCAATATTTTTACCGAGATAGTGCCAAGGCATTGGAGCTTTAATTTTGTGTTATTAATGCCACTCTTCCTGTTAAGGCCCTTGCACGACTGCATCAGCTGAAAGTCTTGGGTCATACTCTGGTGGTGGAGTATGCAAGGAATAGTGTTGCATCGCTGATCACCGCTAATTCTAGTGACACAGAGATGAGGTAACGATTGCATTTGAAGTGCATTATAAGAATGATTAAGTATGTTATCCTGAGTGTTACCAAAAGTTAGTGACAGTGTGTTGACTCTAGCCTGTGTTCTTGTCATTTTATTCACGTACATCTTAATTTCAGGCCCATTTTTTTCTGCAGTGTTTTGATAATCCTGAATTCGCAGCTTTTTTCTGATCTGTTTTCACTCTGTTTACTTTTCATGAGAAATGGAGATGACATTGATCCAAATACTGAGGATTGTAATCGGGACCAAAGACGTTCATCAGCCGCAGAACCCCCCAAAAAATTGGCCTGGGCTGACCATGGAGCGAGAGGAGTACGACAAGATATCAGGATCTCATCTGGTCATGGGTAAATTGATCCGTCTTAAGACATGTCAATTGTATGAGGATGTAGGCAGCTAACCTTTAATATCTCTTTTGACCCATGGTGCCGTAGTGCTCTCTCTCTCTCTGCCCAGTCTGTCTAGTTTCTGGCAGCAGTTTAAACTTCCTGAAGCTGTTTATTGAGTGCTGTTCGACTTTGCATACAGTGTGTCTCGGTAGCAGTTGAGTGCAGATGTACTGTAAGTTGAACATCTTGAGTCTATGGCTATATTTGGATGATGGAAAACTTGTAGAAACATTGGGATCCAGAAGGAGATGCCACTTTAGCCCTAACCCTGCCAGAATCTGCAAAATCCACTGTTTTTTGGAGGAATTTGTTGGATTGAGGAAGTTAGAGCCCAGCCACTTTAACTTGTCTTGGAGATATGATGTCTCTTGAAAGTGTGGGTGCAAGAAACGTACCTTTGGGTTTCCTCCTCATCAAAATGACAAGGGAGAGAGGTTAATGAAATTCATGGGTAACAGTGTTATTGATTGCATTTCTTTTAGTTTCATTTTTTTTCCGAATCTCATTCCTTCCAACAGGATTGACTTCCCATTGAATCCAGTGCTTCGCTACCGCTACCCAACACCGACTGTCAGCGTCCTGACTAACATCGTCAATTGCCTGGCCTCGGTGCCCAAATTCTACACCCAGGTCTTGCATCTGATGAACAAGATGAATCTGCCGGCCCCCTTCGGCCCTCTCACCCCTGCTCCACCGTTGGTAGGTTTGCTTGAAGTCAGGACGATCTCACAGCCCCCTATAAGTAAACCGTTGCAGGGGGACTGATTGCTGCCATTTCTTCTCCCGTAATGCTAGATCCAGGATGAGCAGGCGCTCTCTGTTGACAACAATCAGGCGGTCACAGCTATGGAGATGTCCAGTTCCAGTGAGGAAGAGTCGGAAATCGAGAGCGACCCTGAAGAAAGAGAAAAGTAAGCAGCACAACTTGTCACTCTCCACTTTTCCTCAAAGAGAAGTGTAGATAGGAATTTTTTGAAGATGCAGTTATTTTTTTTTTGTACCAAAGCATTTGAGGAGAATGAAAGCAATGATAAACAAGATTTTTTTTACAAAATGGCCAAACTTTTTCAACAACGTAGGACAAAGACGGCACAGGTGTCGCTGAAGCGACCAACGAAGAGGAAGAACCCACGCCACCCCAAGCGCCCGAAACTTCAATCGTTCATTCCGACAAAGGTCTCGACAGCGGGCGGGGCCACAACCTCCTCTCAGCCCACCAAAGCAGTTGACGTCTTTGAACAGCCACAAGCTCCTGTCGGCAAGAGAATCGAGTTCCGGCTGACAGAAGGCATCTCTGGAGCAATGGAGCCCAACCAGATGGCTGCGGCAAGAGGTCAGTCAAAGTTTCACACCACAACTAAGGATACTAAATTTCTGTCCCAAGAAATTACATGAGTTGATATCGATTGCATTGTCCATTTAACAGACTTTTCTCATTTGTCTGTGTTCTTTTCTAAGCCCTAAAATTTACACTTGTAAAGTGGTTCCTTCCCAAACTTTTCAAATACTGAGAATAATAGAAAATGCTGGAAACTAGCCATCTCTACTTTAATCTCATTGTAGAACAGTGTCAGTGTGAAAGTATGCAGTCCTAGGTATGCCACATCTTGAATTCACAGCCTTAAGTGAGCTTGAAGCCCATCAGTGGAATGTTTGAGCAGCTTTACAGAAGTCTTGCGGTTAAGATGGTGATGTGCAATTACAATCTTGTTTCTGCTCAATTTGGTCATTCTCAATGATGTGCCTTCTTGTAACGGCAGATGAGATTGTTGTGCGCGACAAAACAAGCCTGGAACAGCCAGCCGAAGTCAGCCCAGAATCTTCAATCAAAGTGTCTGGTTTTGGAACCTTTGAGCCTCCTGCAGTGGAGAACGAAGTAGCCCCTCCCATGAAGGGCCTTGAGGAAGAAGAGGAGGACGAAGATGAAGATGAAGGGAAGGTGACAGAGTTCATCTCGCGACGAGAGCTGAGAAACCGACTCCCAGAACATGGTAAGTAGCTCACATACTTTATTTGCTGCAGCCTTAGCGTTTGAATCTTCAGAGTTGCCAAGTTGCTAACGTTTCATAGCTCAACTCTAACCCTCCTCAATGCTTCACCTGTTGGAGGACTGAGGAGTGTTAGGGTTAATTCTTTATATCTGGCTCTGTAGGGCAGGTGTCGACATTTCACAGTTGGATTACCCAGGGTCTCATGTTCTGTTATCCTTTACAGATATCAAGCGGCATCCAGTTTTTAAGCACTACGAACCTGGAGAACCGACCACGCGGTTGTACCTCAAGAATCTGGCTAAAACTGTGGAAGAAAAAGTGAGTAATTGCTGAAAGCATCAGGTCCTTTCATTGAAGCTAGAATAACTTCATGTTGTAATCTCTTTTTTTATGTTTTGATGACAGGATTTAAAGTACATATATGGACGGTATGTGGACTGGTCATCGCCTCTGGACAGGGACATGTAAGTAGTCTGAGCTATTTGGTAAGGTGTGTAAGATTGTGTACTTCACACGCAAACCAAAACGGCGCTATTGTCCTGCGATGCAGTTTACCCATGAGATGTGTGTAAAATAGAAAGGTAAACAATGTGGATATAAGTCTGAGAAATTGAGTGGATTCTCAAGGCTAGCTGTAAGTTGGTTGTAGGGATTTAGAAATGGACTTCACAGGCAATCAACAAATCGACAGAAATGGATAAGTGAGCGACGCCTGTGGAATGCAGCAAGTTAACTGTCAACAATCCACTCACAAGCAGTGAGTGGATTATAATCAACACTATTCTCAGTAATCTCACATCTCATGTTGGTCCAACCCCTTTGCAGGTTCACCATTCAGCTGATGACCCAGGGACGGATGAAGGGCCAGGCCTTTATCGGTCTGCCCAGTGAATTTGCAGCCCAGAAGGCTCTACACGACACCAATGCATACATTCTGCAAGGCAAACCCATTGTTGTGGTATCCTTTCCTAATTCTGGCACTGTCCGGTTGCTTTATTCATGGAAGCCATCTCATGGAAAAACTTAGCTTCTCATTCTAGTGAATTCTAAATTCCGACTTCAGTGAAAAAAATAGGATTAGGAACTTCAGCAGAATAGGGCTAGATAACTTCAAAAGTGGAAGACCAGTACATTTTTTGGAGTTTCCCAGATTGTATGCTCCGCCTCTGTCCTATGCCTGGACAGATCTCTACAGTTTACGTTTGAAGCATTCATTTTCCTTAACTGATGAACTTCAGCAATTTGCAAGATCAGCCAAGTTAAAGGAGAAAGAAAAAGAGAAAGACCCCAAGAAGAAAGGCAGAAGGGAAATCTGATGACCATTAGTGATGAGCACATTGGATAAGCTGAATATGAATCCTAAACTATTCAAACTCTGGACCAGTCTAACGGAAGTCAGTGGGCTCTACCAGATATGATCAGTATCCCCAATACATGTACTTCAAACAGGATCTCAATTACAGCTTGTCAGGGCTGTGTAGGACTTGCCACGCCACACCTGGTTGTGTGAAGTCGAACCTTGGACCGTTGGAGTACAAGTTAAGCTGCTCTACCCAATGGCAAATTCAAACTACATGAGAATGTATTGCAGCCCTCCCCCCACATCAAACTTACTCTTTAATGTTACAGCCATCTTTTGATTTGTTGCTTGTATGCACGATGAAAACTTGACAGTTGGAAGAAAAGGAACAGCAGAAATGAACCAGAACTCGTGAAATGATAAACCCATGCTTTTTATTTATATGCCACTTTCAATAAACAGAACATTAATGAAGTGACTATTGTTATGCCCACACATTTTATACATCTGCAAAAACAAATGAACATACATTGCAGTTCAAATGAAAAAAAATCAATCCTTTCCTTCTGTGTCTATTTTCCTTAAAAAAGTCAAAGGGATATTTTAATATGTACATAGTGGAGGGACATCAAGTGTTAATTGTTATCGATCCTTTTTATGAGTGCTGTGGAAAACATTGTTGCTAAACAAAACATGCATCTTTTACTCAATGAACTCAATGAAGAAATACTTTATCATATTTTCCCTGAATAACCCCCTAAACAACAATTTCTACATAAGGACGGAACTGCATTTTGGTATGGAACAATGCTCTATTCATGTTATCTCTAGATTAATTACAAGTGATTTGGAAAAGCTCACTCTAGTGTCAAAGGCATGTTCAGGATTTTTTTTTTAGGTCTGATCGACGTCCAGCGTGAGGTCCACTTTGGTCATGACGGTGGTCTTAGTTTGACCGCCTCGAAGTCCGGCCAGGAATGTCTGCGGCTTTGGGACATTACTTGCGCCGTCCGTCTTGGTTTGGCTGGCCGTATCCCTGCAATCACAGAAGGAGAAATGACCGAGAATAAATTGTCTTCCACTTGGCCTTGGATCGAGGAAATCAAGCGACAGTGATACAGGACATTGGATGAGTGCTTATCGCAACTAGAACAAAGCCTGGGCATTAATCCCGACAGTACCAGGAAGGGGGGGTCACTTACTTAGGCAGGTAGACCTGGGTCACGTTGTCTCGTCTCAGGTTGCTCAAGTTGGTCTGCATGGAGTGTGTCACCTTGTTACGCAGGTTGGTCTGAAATACCAAACATGGCAGAACTAAAAACTATTGAGAATCCTGCAGAGAATTCTCAACAAGCTCCACAAGGCTTTGTTCACTATCACATTGGTCCCATCAACTTTTAACGGACTAGTAACATTGGCATGCCTTGTCTAACTGCCTAACTGGAATGATCCTCTTGCACACATGGCATGTTCTGGGATGGAGATGTGGTTCCAAAGTATTCTCAACTGAGACAGGCTGCGCACAAGCCTAGGAAAAAAATCCATTCCGAGTCGAAACATCCGGAAGGATCTTTCAGACCTCTGGCTTGAATCTGTCTTTGGCTTTAGGTTTATGAATTTAGTCCCTTGGTTGGGATCCCTCAACTCAACACCACATGCACTGCTGCATAAATATTGATTTTTCTCAGCATGCGGTCACAGTTTGAGGAATGTTCGTTTGTATTTCACAGTAAATGTTCGTAATTGTGAAGCTTAAGATAAATCCAAGGACAGATGCCGCTGCAATTTGACAAAAGAAAAGGTCCTGGTGTTCTCTAGCTACTCCCAGTGGAAACGGCCTTGGGACGGAATTGAATTACTTAGCAGTTTGGAGATGATGCTCTTACCAACTTGATGGCTTTCCTTCGCAGCTCCCACTCATTCCACTCGTAGGACTTGACGATGTTGGACTCAATGGGGTGCACCTCAGTCTGCACGCCCATGTCGCACTTAGTAATGGGCTTCTCTATCATCTGACCCTGGTCTTTGCCCTGTGGGGTGGTGATGAGAGGTCAAGGGTCAACTAGGTCATGTCCAGAAGGTCCCAGAATCTCCAGTTTCAAACTGTTTCGTGTTCAAAAACGTACCTGCGTGTACGGCGTTATGGTGGCGAATTGAGCGTGCAGTTCGAGCAGCTGGATCAGTTCTGGAGAAACTTTGGCGCACTCAGCAACGTGCATGATGAACCTGTTGGAATAATGATTGGCTTGACAAAACTTCTTCCATCATCACTAACAAATCTTCGTGCCACTGCACACGTTACCTGCGTTTTCTGCTAGTCATTGATACTTATGAACAGGTCATCCATACCAACTAATCACTTCCGCCAAGAAATCATTTTTTTTGACGAGTGCGGTATAGTTAAGCTAAGTCTGAGAGATGTGATGACATGGCTTTGTGGATGCTGCATGGGTGCACTGAATCACACCTGTCAGGGTTGCTGGCAAATTCGTAGGCTGCCTCTTTTGACGAGAAGACGTAGTAGCGATCTTTGTAACGTAACACACCGATGTCTGGATTGCCAGGGAGCAAGAGGCGGTCAAAGTGGACCAAAGCCCAGCCACAGTAGCCCTGGAAGGGGAGAGAATGAGACAAGAATCTAGGGGATTCAAGACATGAACAAGACTGAAAACTGTGACAGGCATTGTAAGATGTGTTGGTTAAGTGATGGGGGGGGGCTGTACACGGAGAGATGTGTTTGTCTGTCTGTTGGTTGGATCTTACCCTGTACTGTAGAGGGAGCCGCTCAAAGTTTTTGGTGGTCTCTGGAAACAGCCACTCCACGTGCTTGAAGTCTGACGGCTTCACACGGTGTTCCTCGGCTGTTGTCTATAACAAAACGTGATTTAAATAGGTCAGTTTCAAATCTCAAGGGCCCATTATCGGACTACATGGTTGTCTCTCACTGGTGATCATGGGGCTTATCTGCATTCACTCTTCCTAGAAATCAGTATTTTCCCTTTTGTGTCAATTTGAAAAACATATTTGTCTATTCTGTTCCTCAGTGAAACTAACTTTCTCAAATGTTACTCTTCAGATAAAAAGTGCAGCACAATATATAATGCAGCTCTGTAAGCCCTTAAAATAAAGTTGAAGCTGAACCGCTAACGAGCACAACGTTAGCAGACAATGACTCTTGCAAAAGAATTAAGAAATCATTTCCCTGGTGTTCTTACTTCTCTGATCCTTTCCTCGTCAGATTTGATGTGCATCCCCTCCAAGAATGGCGCCATCATCTCAGCCGTGAAAACCTCCTTATGACCCTGGCATTCAAAAGAAAACGACAGAAAATGTAATCTTGATGCTCCAGAGAAAATCCACACTTGCGTCAGAGCTCTACAAATGCTGATGTTCATGTGCGTACCTTTGTGAAAGGTTCCAGGCTTGCTAGAATGTTACTGAGCACGCTCAGGAGAACCATCTCGTCTTGAAATCCACTCCAGATGTGGGCCAAGTTGATGAATTGAGGCTGGAATAATGCAACAAATACAAGAGCTTGGAAACAGTAACTCAACGTGAAGACCAAGCTGTCCAGTTTGAATGGCTTCACAGATATATATTTAATATATAGCAAGAATTCTGCAGTATCATTCTTTTAGGCTCTCAAGTTACGGTGTTCTGTCACAGTGAGGATGGACAATCCGTCGTATAGGGTAGATCGATTCCAAGAATACTCACATAGACCTGGGCTGTAGGCACGGCTGTCTTGGACTGCACTGTAGCCTGCAGTTGCTCCAGTCTGGACCCCAGTTGAGCTTCTAACATTTCAACTTGCTGGGCACAGCTGATCACGTCATTCTGTAAACAGCACACGTGGAAGCTATGAATTTTACCCAGCCTCATCTATGGCTCTGTCAACATTATGGCCATAAGCTACTGGCTGAAGCTTCTTTCCATACATGCGTATGTTAAACCTAGCCACAACCAGACGATTTGGACGTGGCTAGTGTTCACTGTTCCTGAGTCCATACTCTGTTAAAAGCCAGAAGCAAGGTAAATCTTGTATGGCTTATTGGCATCTGTAATATATTCATCGATGTGGAGGACTGACTTACCAGGATAATGCGGAGGAAGGACTCGTGCTGACGGCTGTTAATCAAGGCCTCCTTGAGAGCCTTGATGGAGGGCCCCTCCTTGACCTCTCCTCCCATAATCCTCTCGATCAGGGCTACTCAAGAAAAAGTCAACGGGAAAACAAGACCTTGATTGAGGATCTACTGGGTTGATTTGCAAGGCAGGAACATGCATAGACCGAGTGATTTGTTAAGGGGGGGGTGTTAAATGGCATCTTCAGAGAAGAAGCATCTCGGAGGGGGGTGGGGCCTGGAAGTGTTATTGTGGGTGGGATGTGCTTGAAATACAATGAGCAATACAGTGCCTATTCACGATGTGATAAAGGGGGCTATACTCTTTCAAATCTCTAAAATAAAACAATTACGGGTATTAACACTCTCACAATGTCACGTTCAACGTCACCAGGTCAAATCTGTAACAATTATAAGTAGGTTAAAAAACTTCCAACATAAAACCCCATGTAACAAGTTTTCCATCTGCAGAGCGATTTTCCCCTACCTGTGTACTTGAAAGCGATGTCACACGAGCGCTGGATGGCACCATCTACATTCTGTGTGGTGGCCGGGACAGCTTCGTTCAAAATGGCTGGCACTGGAAAAAAAATTATTCTTGAAGAAAAATCATGCCACATACATTTTCAAAACTGCTTGAATATAAGTTGAGAAAAACAAGAACTTAAAACTCTAGTGACAGGTAATGCTGGGATGAAAAAACTGGCCGGTTCCCGACTCACAGTCGTCAATGCCTTCTCCTCCCTTGCCGCACTCCTTGTTGAAGAGCCGAATACCAGTGACGATGTGTGTCAACTCCACAAGCTGCCTCTCCTTGTCTCGTTTGACGAGGGACATGAAGGTCCCCAGCTCTGTCTGCGGGAAGACGCTCTGAAGAGCAGCTGGCAATAGTTAAGAAAAAAAATAAATCAAAATTGCAAATATTTTTAAGTACCTCGTTCCACTAGACTCAAGCACTTAGTTCTGCAGTAGTAACTATTAACACACTGAAGAATTTCGGACTGTGCTTAGATAGGGCCTCAAAGTCCCAACTGTGTCTTGGTGCAAAGGATATGAGAATGGTTTATCGAACTGTGTATGTTTTTGAAAAGTTCAAGATGCATTGCTGTTTCTGGAAAACCATTAAAGCATGTATCACTATTTTTGCCGTTGTGGGCTGGACAATGCACAAACATGGATGTACAAATCTGAGATAAGATAACAGACGTTTCCAGTTTGCTTACCTGTTGCCTCTCTTACAACAGCGATATCAGTAGGTGAACCCAGGCCTGACCGCAGCAGGACGGCAGACACGATCTTGCGGTAGAGACTCTCCAGTTCCTCCCGAGTACGGGCCCGGCTGTCGGTGATCTCCCGGATGACCGGCTGGAGGCGTTGCTCCAGGACGCGACGATGCTCGTCCAGGAAGTCAGCTGTTGCAAGCAGAGAAGGATGGAGAGTGACCGGTTCCAGAGAAATGGTCAATGCGTTACATCATGATTCCCGCATTTTATTTCGAAGATAAAAGGCTATGGCCCAGATTTCAATGGGCATTCTTAGGAGATGAAGGGTGAGAATCTTTTCAATTCCCACAAACTCATTCTCGTCTAGGAATTAGTTAGTTCAGTAGGTTGCAGACTATAATTTGGCAAAAAATTCTTATCCAACATTGGTAATGTAAAACTGCTACTGCTTCTTATTGTCTCCTCTCTATAGACGTAGTGGATTTGGGGTTGATTAGTGGCAGTTGTGTGAGGCGCCCTTGTACGCCATTCGCTCAACGACGTTGAATGTCTTCTTTGTATAGGGCATTTGAACATATCTGTGAGAAATTTGCACTTTGTACATGAATTAATTACTATTATTATGTAAAGTTTCTGGTGCTCAAACCCTCTGCTTACGATTAACTGCAAGTGAATCAGTGCGAGATCTAACATGTGCAATTATTACACTTAATTCCTCCTTGAGTTGAAAACTTTTTACCTCGGCAAGTGTAGTTCATATCAAAATACACCTGCATTTTGACTGTGTCCAAAGCTGCAGATCGGGTGTCCAACAGGCGATCCACACAGATCTAGGAAAACAGATAAGCACCACTTGAAATACAAAAAGATAGTCCCACACTGAAAGTCCTAACAGGTACTTCACTTTGAAACAAAATGCTACATCAGATAAGATTTGAGGCTTTGCCTGACAGAAATGAGCATTTGGATCAGTTTGCAGAAACATTATGAAGTGATCTACTTTCGCTGGGCTGTTTGTTTTAAACTTGTTGCAAACACTCTACTCGAGCTTGGTGGCTATTCCGTTTGCACTTTTTGCAATTCTTATATTGCTACTATCACTCAGTAGGATATGATCGCTACATTTCTACATTTTAAATGTTACTCTTTGTCATCAAAAAGGATACAAAATACCTTATCCACAAGACCAACTTGAGGAAATTACTCATGCGTAAATTAAGGGTTGGACATTTACACGTTTAAACGAAAAAAGTTCAAAATCCCTTCACAGATTTTACCAAACGTTTAAACAGAACCGTCCCTATTAGAGGTTTAATGTTTTGATAGACGCAATCTGGCATTCATTTTTATTGTAAACGATGCCTGTTACACGTATACTGTTTTTTCCCTTTTGTCATCCATGTACTTTTTGAGAAAAAAAGTGGATTTTACAGCAATAAACATTGCTTGTTTTAAATGCCCCAACATCAATCTACATTTTTACATTGGCTGGACTATGTATGCATTGTTGAACTATATAATTATGCATGAAAACACTGAGGTAGGCGGTGGCCTCTGTAAAGTGTTAGCTAAATGTTTAAATGTTTGGGGAAGGTTTTGTAAACGTGTTTCAAATTAAATGTAAATGCAGGGTTCCCAGCCCTCAACAGAAAGGGTGCAACAAACCTTTATAAGCTTTTGCACGTCATCTTTGGTCAGGGTTCTGTCGACGTTGAATTCATTTGCTGGATCCAACACCACTGCCTTGACCATGAATGCCACCAGTGTCTCTGAGACTGCCTGGCCTTTGCTGGCACATTCTTGGGCAATCTCCCTGATGATATTTTTGATAACGCTCTCTGCCTGAGCACGAGACATAATGCTATCAAGTGTGGCGGGTCTTTGTTATGATGTTATCTTCAATCAAACCTGAAAAGAAAGAATAATACAGATTAATCATACAGAAATTACGAAATCCTTTTTAGCTCATACTGTTATTAATATTGGCCCAATTTTAAGAATAGGCCAAACGTTATGAATAACACGATAGGCCCTGCGCCAATTAAAAATGCCACTATCAGTATCAGCACCACTGCTGCAAACATGGCAAAATTTCTCAACAAATATACAAACAAAGTCGTTCACAATTTTAAACCATCATATTGTGATGGTAATTACAAAGTTTAAAGATATTACCTCAGACTGTGCTGCCAAATCTAAGGACAGTAAGAGAATGATGTTATGTTTGGAAGGTTAGCCTAGCTTATTTTCAGGTAGGCTAGTATGTGTCCGTAAATTGGGCAACCAAACACACTGACGACAAGCTGGACAAGGCGAGCTTGAACGCTGGCTTCTTTGAAAGAAACAGAAATTGAGCACAAAAATGAAAGAGAAAAGCAACTGACAATCTTACGTGATGAGTGTAGAAATTCTTTCACGCAATCATTATGAGAAAGGAAAAATTCATACTCGAATATAGTTTCCGCTATTCGAGCGAGTGCTATCAGACGACAAAACCCCATGGAAACATCAAACAAGTTATATGATTGGCTGAATAAGAAGTTGACAAGCAGGAAACTACAGAGGGCGGTGTTGTTAGCCATGTTTACAGAAGGATTTGGGACCGGGAGTTCCGCTTGATTACAAAATGTTCACAGGTAAATGTTGCGACAGGTAGTGAAAAAGATTAGGTCCAAATCGTTTGTCATTAATGTATAAAAAAGCCTACAGTTTTAGGGAAATTTTCGTTTGATATCCCCTCTGATCTGAAATTGGCATGCATCATCAGTTGTCAGTGAAAACACTAACGTTAAACGGAAAGCTGACACGTGCATGGGGAATGTCACGCTATTTGTGGCCTAATTTACACAAAGATCTTTTGTTTCCTTTCCTGTACATATTCCATGTTTGTAGGGAAAAGGGAAAAAATGTTGGATCCTGACTCCACTTCAGCCATGTCAGCAGTTGTGTACAAAGTCTATGAGGAGTGAAGAGAATTTTCTAAGTATTTCCCAACAACATCGGTAAATGTTTCTCAGTCCAGAAGTCGTGTCTTTCCAGTATTTCTGTAATGACCGACTTTTATTGAGATGATATATAATGAGAAAAGTGGAGTCAGGATGCAACATTTTAGCCAGGAAAAGTAAAGGCAATGCCTGCTAATGACATGAACACTTCAAAAATTAATTTTAGAAAAATTACATTTAACTTTTGTTTTCCCCCATTCTCACATCTCAGAAGGCCGAGGGTGAAAACCTTCATGACCTTTGGAACTTTAATGAGAGACTATAGTTCTGTTTCTGCATCAACGTGTGTTTAAAACAATGGATGTTTAAGAATTGATGGGAGATGGCTGTGAATGTCTGCCGTCGGGACTTTGGCACCTCCGTCACCACAGGTGCAGTAAGTGCTGATGGGCACGAGGTGGAGAATCTACTGGGTGTTACTGACAGGTGGGGACAACCTAAGGGCTTTGTGGCTGAATGCTTTGTCAAACCCCCGATCGACGTCACTTTCATGTTCCCCTTCAACCTGTGGATCCAGAAAATCGTGCTCGACTCCAAAGTTGGGGGTCAGATGTCATCTGCTGTCGAAATCTTCACCGCCTCATTAGCAATGCCTCCCTGCCCAAAAAGCCATTGTCAGACCTCCAGGAGAGGAAAGACCAGGATGTCCGATGTTGACCAGAAGCCCACTCTGCGCAGCCACAGTCAAATGCTGTCTGAGAAAGAGAGTGCGGTGTTTTCAAGTATTGAAAAAGCTTTTTCAGCGGACACTAATGCATCAACATTCTGTTTTGTCAATCACAGCTATCGATCACTGTACCCTCAGATGGGCAGTGGAGATCCTTGTCAGAGAGAGGATAAACCCAAAGTGGTCACAAGACCTTTGCGTTATGGACGCCCGGGTGCTTTGACTAATGTCAGCCACGTGACTGTACGCGTCAACCGCGCATTGAGTGGATCGGTCGCACTCAGGAGTGTTCAGATCTGGGGGCAGCCTTCGCAGTTCTGTTCCAAGCCAGTTGTACACTGGTTCCTCCAAGTGGTCGAGTCTATCAAGAATCCTGAGATTAAGGAGGAGGGGAAAGAAATCGTAGAGGCGGATGGGAAACAACGTGGAAAATCCCAGAGTGCGGCCTTAACTGGATGTAAAAGTTCAGAAAGTTGTCCTAGATCTGTAGATCTGCCTGATTGCCCTGAAGAGTTCATTGATCCCATCACAAACGAGATGCTCATCTTACCTTTGCTGCTTCCTTCGGGGCACACTGTTGACAGTGAGACCCTGCGCAAGCACAGTGAAGCTGAGGCCCGTTGGGGGCGCCCTCCCAATGACCCATTCACGGGGGTGCCATTTTCGAAGAGCAGGCAGCCGCTCCCAAATGTGAAACTAAAGGAGAGGCTGGATCGCTACCTGCTGGAAGGGGGTGGGAATGTCACCCCTCCTGCAAGGGATGTTGGGAGGTCAAACGGCACAGGTGCCCGCAAGACAGAGGTGGCTCCGGCATCACTTATTAGACTAAGAACTCAACAAAATGAGTCTTCAACCAACACAGAAGCCGAGAGGCTTCGGGAAGCACAGCTTGACAAAAAGGAGGAAAGCAAATGCCTTGATGGCAGTGAGACATCCTCAAGTCCATTTGCAGTACAACCACAGCTTCAAACAGAGACCCTCCGTTCTGAAGCCAAGAGAAAATCCAAAAATGACAGACTCGGCCAAAAGTTGCCAAGAAAAAAAAGACCAGTTCTTGGCATGCAGCACGATCAAGAAGCTTCCAACTGTGAGCACAGACAGGCATCACCTCTCATTTCCAGTTCATCACCATCAACTCAAGGTACAAGACCAAAGTTTATACTTATCAGTCATTAGTGTCAGTAGACAGCTTTACACCTTACACTTTGATTTGACGGGTACGCTTGCTCTCACAATTGTTCTCTGATCCTCATTTATTTCTTTCGTCCAATTCAGCTTCCACCAGCTGCCATGAGGACCTGTTGGCTCAGAGTCTTGACGCAGCATTGGAAAATGCCCTCTCAACCTTACCATCTTTCAACAAGAAACCGTTGCAGCAACTCGGCAGCCTCACAGGTCAGAGACACAAGCCCCCAACTGGTCTAAAATGCCGGAATGGATGGAATGCTTGAATCAGAGATTGCCCTGCGTAGTCAGCTCACAAGAGGAAAACAGCTTTTTTTTTTAATAATCCTGGGCGTTGTCCGTGTCTGAGACTTCCTCTTGAGTAAAACAATCAATTTCACACACCTATTGCTGAAAGAGATGATAAATCATACTACAGTATTAACTCACGGTTACAGAATTCCTAAAAACTAACTCTACGAACATCTAACAAAAGAAACACAGTGCACTATCAATGAGTGTCCATTGTTATTTGCACTGTACTTCTTTTGTTAGATGTTCATAATGTAAGCCCAGAAGTCAAAAATGTAGACAAAAACAAGATTTAGAAAACCTGGCATGAAAGGACACGAGCTATGTGCACACAGGTGTAAAGGGCATGCACCACAAAGCCAGTTTTCAACTGAATGCTACAAATTTGTGGTGTATCCATCTGACGACATCATCTCAACACAAGGTCTTTACAGAAAGGGCATTAAATTGGTCTGACGTGGCCTTCTTACCACACAGCACAGGTTAAATTTTTGTACAAAGTCCATAAAGGCCATCTAACACACCGTTTTTCCAACTGCGTTTTTACTTGATTTGCAATCCCTGAACAGATTCACAGGTCTCATCAATTTTATGGGGAATTTTTGAATTTTCCTTTGGCAGATAATGCGAACAACAAATGGACATGCTCATCGTGCCACAAGACACTGGCCACCAAGGATGGTTACCATGTCAACGGGCCCCTGAACATGTACAGTCTGCCGTGCTCCCATCTCATATGCAGAGACTGTCTGTTGTCAAGCAGTGGGAGGACGAACAGCCAGTGCAGTGTTTGCGGCATAAAATTCCTGACTTCAGAAGTGACAAAAGTGCACGTGTAAACTTCAGCTGTCTGTTCCAATAAGAATCTCGAGTTTAAGGATCTACTGTGACTAGAGTTCCCTATTATGTACTCCTATTGTTTCTCAAAAGCATCAATAATTGACCCCCCCCACTATTGACCTCCCCCACTCCCAAATAAGTTATTGAATTGTTTAACTCTCTGAATGTTTACTGTAAATACATTCAATATTTTGGTTATGTATTTGTACATCCTTTTCCTGGTGATAATAAATTTGTCAGTGACAGATGATTTGAACATTAAAACCGTGATGACAAAAGTTAGGTGATTATTCCACCCGCCCCCTTTTGACAGCTCTGTGTCTGGAGCCCCAGCGTATTGCCCTCTGAGGCTGTGTTGAGTCGGATCTGTGTTCTGCCGATGTTCAGCCACGTGCTGTAATCTGTCGCCTTATTTATTAGGTGCGCACGCGGTTTAAAGAAATAATATTTTTGTTGAGGATGAAAACCTCGTACTCCAGAACCTTTTCTCTGTCAATATTCACATAAGCAGCAGTTACTTAGCAGGCCACTGCAGGCTGCTAGAAAAGGATGTCCCTGGGCGCTAACAGCGTGAATCTTGCGGGAAGCGCGGGACCGCAATTTGGAAACGATGATGAGGCCGACGATAGATCCATCTCATCCTTCGGTGGCGGCGCTGCCGACCAGCGCTCGGCCACGGTGGTTGTGCCTGGCGTGGCAAACTCGGACACCGAATCGTTGCAGCAAACGGCGGGTTTCAACTTAATGAGGCTCACTCCCCCGCCTCCGATAAATGATATTCTTGTTCAAGGCCCCGCGGAAATTTTGGTGCTGGACGAAGTTGGCGTGTGCGAAGATGAATCACCGAATATTGAAACAGGTAGGCCTAAGACTTGTTACTCTCTGGTTGCTGAGCCTTCTGCAACCCAAACGCCTACTTAGGTCAGCCTAGAACCATCGCGGTTCAGGGAACAAGGATCGTTTCTGATAACAGTCGCAAGCAGTTGCAGTAACAAGTCAGATTTTTAAGGATTTGATGTGACTGTTGAGTGGAGTTCAACAATAACGGAAAGTTTTGCTGAATTAATGCATCTAATAATAAAGAAAATCTCGTAAAATGAAACAAAAACTACCAATAGTATAAGTTATTAAGTCATTTCTATCGCTGTCTGTCCTTTTCTTCTTTGGTGATTTGGGGAGACCCTACTTTTTTAGCATCCCCCCCAGTTTGTGTGTCAAATAATATACAATAGCTTTACAGCCAATTGACATGTAGGCCACTTGTATCTCGCTATCAATGCTGAAGTTTGTAGCCGTAAAGTTTCTCCTTTCATTGACCTTACAAGGAGTAAACCCAGGGCCGGATGTCATGAATCACATCCAACCCGAGGTAGATGTCAAACTTGGAGCCTTGAACAGCCCAGTGAGTGGAGGGAACAAGTTGTCAACAGAGCTGAATGACGACATCCTGTCTATAATGTGTGATGACAACGAGGACGATGATTTCTATGGGGGTGATACCTCCAAAAAGAGGTACGTGCCAAAACTTGCATTATCTTTCACAGGTTAAGTAGGAAATCTTCATGTACAATATTTCTCTGATTTAAAGACGTTCTAGCATCCTAGTCCATAACCCACGTACCACCTCCGCCAGTTTCAAAAAGTTGAAAATTGTGAACTCCAGGCAAACTGATTGAATGATGAAACATTTATTTCAATGCTGTCATTCTTTAACCAAACATGCAACCAAACATGCTTACATTACTCAAGTACTGAATATATCTGGCCATTAAATTGAGTAACATTACATAAAATAGGATTATACATTTGATAAATTAGAATGACAACATTTAGGTTTAAGGTCATGCAAGAACGCTTTTGTACTATAAACTATTTGAGTTACATTTCACTTGAAAGTTCCATGAGTCAATCAAATGCCATCGTGAAAAAACCCAAAATGTTCGCTCTTCTCTGTCCAACTTGAATTTATTGTTGCAGAAGTGAATTTCAAGCGGTCCATTATTGTCAAATAAGTTTTGAAATTATTTGTTTTTACCCGGGAAATTTAGAGACTGGAGTTCGGTTTCCAGATTTAGCAGCAAGCGGAAGCAGGACTCTGCCGATGTTCCTAAAAGTGCCAAAAAAAAGAAGAGTCGCTCCATGCCCAAGACTCCCACACCAAGGCAAGTGAAAAATGGCTCCAAATCCTTCAACTTCATTCTCTGAGCAAAGTAGGATTAAAGACAAAGCGAACCTCATCAGCCTGAAAATTAAAACTGGTCAGTCATTTGTGATACACGTATGTTGAAGTAGCCCAACCTTCTCGATGTAAATCATATACATGTAGAATATTGTTAGATTTATTGGGTGGTTAGAGCTAGGGTTAAATCATAGGTTTGAAGTATCGAAACCAGACAATGTTCATTTTTCTATGGATGGAAAATTGGTTCTTTGTTTTCTACCTTATCACCATCGTATAACAACTCCGTCATCACTTTGTTAGAAGTGACCAAAAGTTACCTCGGTTTTGTGTTTTTCTTTTATAAAGGAATGGGAAGACACGAGCTGGTTCCTTTCAAGATCGGCTTGGCAGACCTAAATACTCCCAGGTTCAGATGCGTTTTGTAACCTTTCTGTCTAAAAAATCAGTCTCTAGCGACTCTTTCGTGTTTATAATTTCTTCTGCTGCCCCTTACGGTAGACAAGAAGATGGCAAAAATTGAGGCAATACTGTTATTTAATTTACAAAACCAATAATGTGCTGTGCTTGTTGGACAGGTGGGAATTTGTCCTTTTAGAATTTGATTTTCTTCTGGGAAGGTGACAGTCACCATACCGTAATAAAATTAGATATTCATTTACTGATTTTTTTTTTAAATTAGAGTGTTGTTTTTGATTGTAGGACCAGACTGATTGTGAATTACAGAGGCCATGCTTCAATTTTGTCAAAAATGGCAATTGTTTCCGTCCCTCCTGCCCGTTTCTCCACCCATGCCCACCCCACCAGGATAATGGTGCAGCCCGAAACAGACATAGAAGGATGTCAGTAAGTGATGTGCTACTCGTTGAAACAAGTGTAAGTTAGAAGAAACAGGTTTGGCGTGTATATTTTGGGTGCGATCGGTCAATATGCACCCAACATATACACATCAGATTGTCTTGCTTATAATATAGTAAATGAAGTCTCATTTTCCCCTTATTGTGTTCGGGACAGAACGGCGATGTCATCCTGGGGAACTCCCCTCCCCGATATCTAGTGGAACTGCAGCAGAAAGTTCTACAGCAGGAGGCAGAGCAGCAGTCGCTGATGCAGCACGTTAAGCGGACTGAGATGCAACTGAAGCAGTATGCAGCCCATCAAGCACGGCAGGTTGGCTCTCGCATCCATGTTTCTTGAGATGGATTCAGGAAGGATTATTAACGCCTGCCCATCTGGTTTAGGAACTTGTGAAATCTTTTACTCTCCACTTTAAGGTGTAGATTGACAGAGCTGCTATTGTTTTTACAGGTGTACGATCACATGCAAGAGATGCTTCACAGCCAGCAACAGCAACAACAGGACGAGCTGCACCAGACCAAGCAGATGTACAGACAGCTCAGCCTGGACCGAGGCAAGATGGAGGAACAAGCCAGGGTGCTGGAGAGTCTCTGCAGGTTGTTGCAGTTGGTGCTGGAGCACCACCTACAGAATTTCAAGCCTGACCGAAGTGCAGCTCCTCAGAGCACCAAGGTGTCCACTCGTCTTCACCTGCTGCCGGATTTGCGTCAGATCCCTCCCCTGAAGAAGTTCGATGCTGACCGACCTCCGCGACCCAGATCAGCTGATTTTGATAATCAGCGGTCGTTGGCAAGAGATGCCTGGCCCCCTCTCTCTGTGAGACCAGAAGAGAGCCAGTGTAGGCCTCTGTCGGCTGATAATCTGCGTCGCACCGACCGCCTGCCCTATCACGCTCACCGCTCCCTCCAAGAAAGCATGCCATTGCATCGCAGTCACGAATGCCAGAATGTAGCCAGTCTAAACCACGATTGGTACATTGGCCCTACCTACCACAGTGGCCAATTAATGCATGACCTACAAGTTCCTGCCAGTCAGCCACATTGCCACGCAGCCGGTAACCCTCGGGTTGTGCGTGTAGTACCCGTACAACACTGTGCCGAAACAACCTTTGAAGCCTACGCACATGAGCATGCACCGTTACCTCCCCAGTAGGGAAATCTTCCAACATGAATAAAAAAGTTCCCCCTGAAATGAGACCCCTTTATCTACGTGTATGTTCTAGGCATTTTCAACATTTGAGTCTTTGTGTCAGTTCAGGACAGCCTGCAACATTGGCAAATGCAGTGAAAACTGTAAAAAATGTTTTCCAGTTAAGCAGATCTGTTTACAGAGAGATACAATGACATTTCAGAATCAGAAAAAGAGATTAGTTTTGTAAAAGCTGATTTATATATATATCTAACATCTTATTTTGAACATGGTCTTACAAAGTATGAGAGAAAAAAAGAATCTTGCGTATATTTTCACTTTATATTATTCCAAATAAGTTTGGTTGTTTTTTTGTTGTTAGAAACAAAAACTTTGAAGTTTGAGATTAGAGTTTGTATGCAGATTGAAATGGAACAAACTGCTTTATTTTGTATAAACTGTATTTTCTATTTTTCTCCAAAAAGTTACGGAGAAAGTTATATACTAAATTTTACGTAAAGAGTTGCATGCGTTCTGTTATATCAAATGCAAACGTTAGCACAATGTGTTTCATGAGAATTGGAATTTGACAGTTCCAGATTTGATGCGGTCTGAAATTGATAACTGAAAGACAGAATATTTTATGTCATCGGCAATAAAGACAAAGAGTGTTGCTACTTTACTGGCAAATAGCCAAGCGAGTTCTTTACAAAGTAATTGAGTGAAGTAAAAATTTTATTCTTTAATTGCTGAAACCTGGATTGTGAATGACAAAGAAAAAGTTGATCTAACATTGAGCGAATGTTTGAGTGAAGATGACTTTGTGGTAGGTATTTTCAGGTTTAGAGGTCTCCATTGAAACCAGAATGAATCTGCATGCACTACTGCACTGTTTTTTTTACTTTGTTCTAGTTTGTCTTGTTAATGTTACAGTAGGCATGTGTGGACATTTTAAAGTTTTATATGTACACGTACATGTATTTGCTTTTGAAAAATTTATCAAGACTTCATTTAGGCAAATATCTTTACTGTGTTTGTGACTACTTTTTTGTGCTGAAGACTAAAGCAATAGATTCAGTTGTGTTAAAAAGAAACACTTGAAATGCCAGATTCTGGTTTTATAACCGTGACTACAGTTTTGTGCTTGGAATTTATTGAAAAATGATTTGACCATCAAGAATTGTCAATTTGGGGTTACAGGTCTGTATTGTGTAGCAAATTTAAGGTACGGCTTTCCAAAGTTGGTTTAACAAGCCGCCAAAGAAGTAACAGAGGATTATCAAATGTATGTGCTGTATCCTCATTTTGTTTTTGAGATTTATACTTTGCATACAGCCAGAATTTAAACGTTTTTCTTGAATTTCCAGTGAAAGATGTTTGCTTTGATATTTTATTCTGTTTGAAAGGATTAGCTTAACTTTACTTTCAGTCGAGTAAAAGATAGTTGAATGTTACCAATTTTGCTTTGTAATTTCTTTGGTTTTTGCTCTTCAAAGATCAGCGACATTTGCATCAATAATAGTTTGAAAAAAATGTGTGGTATATATGGGATAACTATAAAAGCACCTCAAGACAGAATACCAGTGGATTGACACCTGGAGATTGGAGTTGTGAACTGGCTAACTTTGCAGAGAAATTTCGGTTTAAGGTCATTGAAAAAAACCTGGAATTTGTCATGAGTGAGTAAGAAGAGGACTTTGGTTGCATTGAGACAAATACGTCAGGAAACAAGCACTGCACGAACGGTTGAATTGCGTAGAAGACCAACTTTTCACGGGAAGCAGCGAACTTATGCAAATGAGGGGGAGTAGTTGGAGACGCCACACTTCGAGATGAACGCACCACACTCTTTCTCACCAGTGTTTTGAATTCGCTACGTGTATCTCGAACCCGCAAGTGTACGCGCACCAGCAGCGGATTGTTTACAACCTCATCTGCACGATTAGAAAAAGGCGCGAGGGGCATTCCCTTATCATTCTCAAATGGCGTTTGGCGGCACCGTGGAACTTTGCATTTGGTTGTTGGATTTTTCGTGACATTGTTCATGCTTTGCGCAAGATCAATGTGAAGAGATCTTCCGAGGTAAGTAACACATACCCAATGAGCATTAAGCATATCGAAATGGTGTAAAAATTGAGTGTATTAAAAAATGATGCAGAGCGCCAGACGTCCAATTTCCGGACAAGTCATAAAAAGATTAAGCCCTAACCGCGAAGGGCCGGGGGGGGGGCAACATTGAAACTCGGAAAGCAAGATTCTGTTACTCAGCACAAGTCATTGCTGTTGGTATAATAAGTTCATATTTGACCCAATTGCTGGAGTGGTGTACATGAGACGTACGAGTGTGCAAAATCTGTCTCAGTGGAAATGTGACTGTACATATATGTACGTCAGGGATTAGGGGCCTAAAAAAGTAATGGCATAAAGTTTTAGTCTTTTTATTAAGTTTAACCCTAAAACTTGATGAATCCCAAAACAAGGCTCAGCCCCGCCTAAGTTGGTGCACTTTAAGTTTTCAAATACCGTTGCCATGTTAGCCTTTTAGAGCAATATTTTTACCTCAAATTTTGCTGTACAAATACAATGAATTTCATCAAGCTCTCAACTTTCTCGGTCGTATTTAATAAATTTTGAGTTACTTGCCAATTACAAAGTTCCAATAAAATGCTATTTTGGCGTGATTTTTTTTTTTAATGCACAATGAACTCTTATATTGTTCCCCCAAAATAAGAAAATATAATTTCCTTACAAACTCGTAGTTGGGCATGTGAGTGAAGGTTAATAATTTATCAGAGTTTATCAATGGAACTGTGTTGATGTGAGATTTTCCGATTTGTGTAAAGTGCACCATGTTAAGGACACTCAGTTGAATTCGTTTCCAATTTCCAGACACCACTGTTTTTTTAATTTTGGACAAACTTTCCCAACTCTAAAATTGTTCACAGTGTTCAACAGTATGTACATGTATGTGTACATTGTATTGTGAAGGTATTTTAGTACCAATTTTTAACTAAATGAATTGGAAGTGTTTCAATGGCTTCATCATCTTATTGTGAAGTACGTTTAAAACTTGCATAAATGTAGATTGTAAGCTCACTGTAAAAGTATTTTTCATTTTGTTAGATTAGGTACAAATGTATTCTGTTATTGCCACAAAAAATCAAGTCAGGTGTTGCATTGTTTAGTATCCATAGCAACTTGTGCACCATGATGACTCTAGAGGGCACTTTACAATGGTCTGTAAATATGAATAGTATCGACTGTGTCAACAAAACGCTTGGAGATCCAATAGACAGGGCTCGTATTTCTTGTCTGGAGTACCTGTTTGGGATTTCATCAACGAGTCGCCTGGCTTTCGTGCCTGCCTGATTGCCTTTTGACCTTGTCATGTGCTTGCAATTGGCCTGTAGTTTGGCACTATTCCAAAGGCATTGAGGCTTGTTTACCTAAAGAGCGTTATTTGGATGTGTGTTGATTTCATATTGGTTTAGGTTCAATGTACAGTACAACAGTGTATAAGACAGTTGTAGACATGTAAGCATGTATGGACAGGCTTCAGTCTAATTATCAAATTCATGTGAACTGTGGGCAAAAGACATTTGTTTTCAACTTTTGTTGCACGAGCAGGCCTTGCACTAGCACTGACTAGATAAAAAAGTTTTACATCCTACAGTGACCATCCCTAGCTGTAAAATTGTGTCTATGGAATTATGTACCTCCATGAGGAATTACATTAAGTTGGTATCTTGTTTTTAATGTTAAAGCTGTGCAATTCAAAATAGAAGTACTGAAAGGAAAGTTTTTCAGTTAAGGTGATTTGGCAAATGGTACTGGATTATTGGGAGAATACTTAAATAGCACTTGGTAGAAGTTAAAGGTTCACATCCTGTTTCATGGAAGTTTCCGTGGTCCATGAAAATAAAACCTTTAAATCTTGGTTTTTGTTAATTTGTAGGCCTATAGTGTGAAGCATTCAAGTGTATGGTCATTCAGTGGGGGCAGACAAGTGAACCACTCTGCTCATGTTAGCTCTGTGAATTGATGTGATTCAGTATGGCAGATGTTGCTAAACGACGGAGTATCTTCATCTGCAACATTCCACCAGCTTCCTCGGTAGAAGCACTGGAGGGATTTCTCCGACAAGGTTGGTCAGTGAAGGGATTTTTAAAGAAATTATTGTAAATTGTCAAACAATACGAAAAATCATAATAACAAAGCTGGAGCGACACTTAATGTGGCAACACACCGCTCACAAGTTTAGAGTGCTTGTCTCGCAAATATACCGACAATGAAAGTTTTTGTTGTGATAATTTTGGTCATTGTGAGAACAATGCTGACAGTTGAAATTTTCTTGAGTCGTAAGAAGTGTTTGTCATGAAACTGTGTATGGTACTTTCTTCTTTTCCAGTATCACAGTTTGTACACCCATGACTTTGTTATTGTTACAGCTGTGCAAATGGCATAAAAAAACTTAGGTTTTGTTGTCTGTCTCATGTTCGCGCAGAGTTGGAGTCATGTGGACAGGACAGAGGTCAACTTGTGCAAATTATTTTTCCAGTGAGCTCCTCAAGTCCACATCAGGCATTGGCTACATTTCAAGATGAAAAGGGTAAGTGTTGTTGTCACAAAAAAATTGTCAAATATAGCACCTCATTTTGCATGATTTTGAGAGATTCAGTATTGTAACAATTAACACTATTTTATTTAGGGCGTCATGCCCCCTTTGAGTCATCAACAGTGCACTAGTTGGATTACTCTTTAAAGTATTTCATTTTGCTGGATTTGGGAAGATCTTTTGAAGATTTGGGAAGAATGCAAAGGAAGTTTACGTAACGTTTTTCGTTATTAATTTGCCAAATTTAATCATTTTTTAATATTTGAACCAGCTATGGTTGCCTTAATGAGGAAGAGACTCCACTTTGATGGAGAGCACTTGGTAACACATCCCTTCCTGTCGCATGTAAGTATCTGAAATATTTAATACAGTGAATATTGGTATAAGAACTACATTGACTCAAAATGTGTTTTAGTCTCCATCTAACTCATGTCCTGTAAGTGTCTCTTTCCTTTGTCATACATGTAGGTTTTCACCTCTGTGATGGCCACCATCAACCCAGATATCACAGAACTCTTTCCCTTCAACTCTCAAGGCTTCTGCAGACTCCTGGAGAAACGATCAGGGGTGGAGTGCCGTAAAATGGAGGCTGCAGACAGCTGTGGCTTGAGGCATCCTTCTCAGACCCAGCTGTTGGACCAGCAGTATGTGCTCGCAGGGAGTTGGTACCAGTTGCAGAACGCTCGTAAATTCCTGCAAGAATGGATGGTTGACGAGACCAACAGGGCACAGTTAAATGACAAAGCTCTGAGAAAAAACGACGAGAGAGCAGCAGATGTCCCTTTGCCATCATTCATCGGTGGATCCAAGGAAAGCCCAGAGGAAGAAACTAGAAGCTCATCTTGTGAACATGGTGATCACGATAGGACAGGGCTTCAAGAAAAGTATGCTTCTGGACCCAACATGGAGGGCCTTGATACAACGGATGCAAGTGAAGGGTCTGAAGATGAGAGAAAGCCCAAATTAAGAGGAAGAAAGGTTGCAGCCTCATTTGAAGAACTGTCGGATCACAACAGTCCTGGAGCTGATTGTGAAGGCATTGATTCAACAGATCGTCACCACTCACCCCCGTCAAATGATGAGATGCCACTAGACAATTCTTCATCCAGAGGTTCTCTACATCACCAGGAGCCTCCTGAATCCTCACACCCTACATCTAAAACTACAGAGGATGACAGAGACAGCTTCACCCTTCCACCAAAAGACCAAGGGATTTCATCAGACCCACTAGTGGAGGGCACTGCCAAAGGGAGTACGTCTTCTCTTGCATCAGACAGAGATTCTGGGAGACCAGATGATGACTGGAGATCGTTGATTACCCCCAACTCTTTTGGTCCAACAGCTGTTGCATCTGTGTCCTCAGAGAGAAGTGAGGACAGGATAACTGTGGGCTCCAGTCTAGATTACCTGAAGCATGTGAGGGTCCCACGAACACCGCTGGCCAGTCTAGAGTCAGAGCTCCATGGCCAAGAATCATCTGAAACAGCTGCCCTCAGGATTGGGAGTGCTGTCAGTAAAAAAGATGAAGAAACCCTGTCACCCAGGGATGACCTGCATACAAACTCCACAGAGCATCTTCAATCAAGTTCTACGGTCACTGAAGATAGAGTCATGGATGGTGATGATGATGAAATAGTGGAAGGTATTGGATCCCTGCCGGTCGATCCAGGAGTCTTCAGTTACATCTTGTTAAAGGAGAGTGACCCCATCCGTGATATTGAGGAGAGGTTTGGTGTCAAGTTCTCAATGCACGCAACCAGAGAAACCAATGATAGTGATGCTGAAAGTGCCCTGCTGAAGATAACACCCACCACAGAAACAACTGACATGGCTCAAGCTCATGACGGGTTTATCAACTTCTACTCTGTTATATTCTCCACCCTTCACCACCGGGCCATTACAACGACAGATAAGGCATTTGATTCAGAAACCCTCATGAAGACAGTTGACATGATCCATAAATTGTACGAAACCGTCTTAGTGACGGTGACTAATCACAAAGTCCTCATATATGGACCAAGTGAGGTTGATGTTCGTCTGGCAAAAATGTTGATCCTTGACTCATTGAAAGAAACACCAGTGGATCCATCAGGCCAACAAGGTCCTTCTGGATTTAGAAGGCATGATAGAGATTATTCTTCTGCCATGAGAAGCGCTGATCTAGCATGTGCTCAGCGAACTTCAGAAGTTAGCCCAGATGAGAACAGCCCTGAAGGAGATGGTCAGGGAGGGTATTCTGTTGCCAGAAGGGAGCACAGTGGCTCAGATAACATTGATGGCATCCTTGAGACACAGACTCAAGCCCGTGAAAATGAGCCAGAATTTACTATCAGGGAAGGGCTCAATTTAAGCTCTTCCGATCTTGAAGAAGACAGTTCCCCACAAATGCCAGCAGTTGGAAATGGACTCAAGCAGACGTATCCCAGTGGGAGGCTCACTGGAGCCAGGGCACGGTTTGAAGATGATGCAGCAGATTATCAACAGGTTGGAGGCCCCAGAATTCTGAATCCAAGCACTGCTTCAGAAGCTGAGCCTGTGGTATCACCTGAAATGACTGACTCGAGAGCTGAAAGCACAAGGGCAGCTAGGGAGATCACAAGGTCAGCTGGAGAGGTCACAGTAGAGCAAGACAGGAGGAGTTTTTCTCAAAAGGAAGATAGTATGGCAAATGTTATACCTGTTGATCCAGGGGTGTTTGCATTTATTCATGCACAAAAGCACACCATTCTCTGCGACATTGAGCAAAACTATGGTGTTAAATTCAAAGTGAAGGGGGACCCTGACAGTGACGTGTACATGGTTGAAGTGGAATCCGTGACAGCTGACTCAGAAACAGCTGCTCAGCAGGGTAGAGAGGCATTTGCCAATTTTTACCAGGAGGTGTTTGTAGGCTTGGAGCATCGTGCCATTAGCCTTGGAGACTTTGAGGCTTTATCCACTGATTGCCTGGCAGGAATCATTGAAGAGATGGAGCATTCTTTCAGTGACCTCTTGTTCAGGGTCGCAGACAATAAGGTGCTGATTTATGGTCAGGGCTGGCAAAATGTTGACTTGGCCAAAGACATGATGTGTAGGCGGCTGCGTGGCTGTCCGATGTTGTCTCCAGAGGTGCAGCAGCATGGTGATGACACAGACCTTGAAAGCCTCAGTAGTGACAGCATGGTGAACCGACTGTATCACCTGAGATACAGCTCATTCGCTCCTGAATCTCCAGATGCTGACAAGATGAGGGCACTGTTACACAATGGAGATACTCCAGTGGTGAATGGGCCTGGTGATACAGGTGGGATGATGCTGAACAGCCAAGAGCACCTGAGTAGAGAAAATGGTCAGGGTCATCTGCCCTCCCAACATCCCTCCACTTCTGTTGTTGAACAGAAGTATACAGAGCAAAAGGAGCAGCCCATGATACAGAACGAATATAGCAGGTTGTTAAATGATTCCAGTGATTTCCATTCCTTTAATAGTAAGAATGCAAACTCTCATGATAAAAATGACACTCTCACCCATTTGAGAAATTCTGGAGATCCAAACGGAACCCTTGGAAATGTTACTTACAGGTTACAAGATGGCCGTCTGATATTTAAGCTCTCCTCAGGCATTCGTGTTCGGGTTTACTGTCACGACATCACCATGATTCGAGTGGATGCCATTGTGAATGCTGCAAACGAGACACTATCGAATTATGCTGGTGTTGCTGGTGCCATCCGCCGTGTTGCAGGGGAAGTCATGCAAGCGGATTGCAACAGTTACATCGCCAAACATGGCCTGCTGTACCCAGCCAAGGTCATCCACACAGGTGCTGGGAACCTGCCCTGCAAGTTTGTGCTTCACGCTGTGGGGCCGATGTGGGAAGACTACCCAAACAAACAGCAGTGCCGTCAGACCTTGAGAGCCACAGTCGTGAAGTGCTTGCGCACTGCAGATGAGAAGCTTCAAGTGTCAACCTTAGCCATGCCCTTCATCAGCTCAGGTTGGTTCAATCTGATGTGTTTATTAATCACTGTTACCTGTAACTGAAATAATGAAACCACAAACCTGAGAAAAAAAGGGAAAAAATGTATAGTGCATGACTGGTCAGCTTTATTGCCATCGAAACCTCACCTGTCACGTGTAGATTTTAGTAAAATGACAGTTTAACATTTTGATTTGTCCTTGTAGGAATTTTTGGAGTGCCTTTTGAATTTTGTGTTGAAGAGATCTGCAAGGCTTTGCTTGATGTGAACCGGAGACGAGTAGCTTCCCCTCATTGTGTCTTACAAGAGGTGCACATTGTGGACTTGGACAGTGTAACTATCCAGCAGGCACAGGACATCATGATCAAAATGCTCAGTCAAGAAGCAAGTGCTGGCTCAGGTGTTGCTCAAGGAATGAAAGAGGTTGGTGTAAGGGAGACTTTGTTGGAGTCTGGGGCCAGTGGAAGTGGAGGTTATGAAAGGAAACGAGACATTCCTGTGGGCAATGAAGACGGGGCGACTAAGAGCCAAAGCAGCCGCAAGCAACGAGGAGCATCAGCAAGGCTGTCAGAGTCACAGCAGGGGAGCAGCAGTTCCTCGGGCGAAGACGTTCATGCACCTCATAAAAACCTGAAGTATGCCCAGATGGAGGACTACAGCCTTCCTGCAAGCCGGCCAGCGATAGTTCGAAGTGCTTCACTACCATACCTACCCAGGGATGATGACGATGATGATCCAAGAAGGACTCACTGGGCATACAGAACATCGGGCCCGAATGCATCTCAGGGTAGGGAACTGAAGAGTCAAGAGCGGTCATCACATGGGAGGAAGTCAGACCTACCTAGAGAGAGAGTACGAGAGAAGGCACTCAGAGCCAAAACTGCACCTGCCGTCTCACATACTGAAACAAGACAGGAGAAGCAAGTCATCGAGCTTCTTGATGCCTTTTCCAAAGCCCCGCCCTCCCCTGAGCTCTCGAGAAAAACTGAGAGGGAGCTCAATCGCCTGTTGTCAGAACAGGAGAGAGGAGCCAGGGAGAAGCAGCAGAGGCCCATTCGACGCACCCAGAGTCTGGACAGGTCACGCCCACGCCAAAAATGCTTTGTCTGTTCTTCCACATGGAACCTGTTAAAGCGGAAATCCTGCGAGCACTTCATCTGTGAAGATTGCAAGAGTGCACGGTTGGACGTCGGCAGATGCAAAGAGTGTAGCAAATCAAAGATTGGAAAGGAAGCAGAGAAGAGGTGCGATCACTGCCTCTGCTCCACCAAACACTTGCTTGTCAACTGCAAGGGTTGTGAAAATGCCATATGCATAAAATGCGTGGCAAAAGGACTGGACACCTGTCAAAACTGTATCGAACGTATTCACTCTTCAGTTTCTGAGGGACATGCAGAGAAAAAGCCACCCAAAGTCAGACGGCCAATCACTGCAGCTCGAACCTCTTTGATGGACACCAAAAATGACTACCGCATCAAGACAAGCATCAAAGGTGCGGCTAGCACTCGGAGGAAGCCTATGTTGGGGTTGAACCAGCCAGTGGACATTGTCGCGTACAGTTATTCAAACCCCGCTGGAATGAACGGATTGGCAGTAGCACACTCTTCCCATTCCACGAACTCGGCATTCACCAAGGAGTTTGTGGCTGAGGAGGCCCCTCACGAAGAAATTCTCAGACGTCTCTCGCGAGAGCAAGAAGCGAGACATCCGATCTTTCCAAAAGACACAGTTAGCAGTCGATCATCAGTCACAGAGAGCTTGCTGACCAACCATAGGCAGTCAAAGAAGCATGCTAGTAAAACGGATGATCTTGAAGTTATTGGCCAGAGCTCGGCTTCCATCTCAAGGCAACAGGAACCAATATGTGTTATCTGCATGGACAAGATCAAGGATCCCAAATCACTTCCATGCAAACATACATTCTGTACCCCTTGCATTGAAAAGCAATTTCAGGTAAGCCCATAGGTTCCTGAAGTTTTTTCCCTTAAAAAGCCCTTTGTTAATTTCAAAGGGTATTTTGAATGTTTATGTAAAGTGGAATGTTTTCAGATCTTCTGTACATTTTTGCACAGAAATGTCAGAAAAGAATGATGCAGAAAGATGCTGGATAGAATTTTAAGTTTTGTTGGTGCCAATAAATGCTTTACAGGTTTTTCCAACTTTTGTCCAGTTGTTGCCAAAGGAGACTTTAGCTTTTTGCAACGTTTTTTGTAGTTCAAGCCAATCTGCCCGGTCTGTGGTGCATGCTATGGTCAGTTACGCGGTGACCAGCCAGAGGGCAGCATGAACTGTAGGACAGTTTCCACAGATCTGCCTGGATACCCAGACTGTGGAACTATCATCGTCACTTACACGTTTCTGGATGGAATTCAAGACGTGAGTAAAATCTTAGTCACCAAATATTTTAATACATGGAAAGTGTTGATAGGAAGAAAAGGGCTTTAATGTCACAAGACAGACATTGGCCTGTAGCCCAGCTCTTTGGACCAAATACTTTCCTGGAAAGTTGCAGTTGATACTTCATTTATTACTGTCCATCCACTCAGGAGCAACATCCCAACCCAGGGCAAAGGTACCACGGCACTCAACGCCAGGCCTACCTGCCCAACAACAGACATGGCCAGGAGGTCTTGACGCTCCTGAAGAGGGCTTTTGATGCCCGTCTTCTGTTCACCGTCGGCCAGTCAGTCACCACGGGCTTGGCCAACAGGGTTGTGTGGAACGACATACACCACAAGACTAGACAGACAGGTGGACCAGAGAGGTAAGTTAATGTAGGCTTAAAGAAAGGAGGAAGTGTACTGGATATCAGTTGGGCATAGAGTGATAGTTTCAGACATGTTCTTTAACTCTAAGAGTGCCGGATGGAAGGGTGCCTTGATATTTTCTCTGATATCATCACAGTACTTTTCTTTTCACATGCCCAGCCTTCAGGTTTTTTTAATAAAATCTTGTGATCATTTTGACATCAGAACTTCAAATGGCCGAAACTACACCCTGAGTTGGATTGAGTTGAAAACTTCATATTTGTATAGAATGCAGTGTCATTACATGCACGTCAAGTTTAAAAAGATCTAGCTTAGTTCTTTGAGACCACTGACTATGAGATGGTCCAAAAAAGCCTGGCTCATTTATGGTTAATGAAACATTTCGTTCATTGAGCCTTGGAAATCTGTTGTTCATCAGTCATTTTGTTTTCTTTCAGGCATGGATACCCGGATCCTACGTACCTTCAGAGAGTGAGAGCAGAGCTTGAGGCAAAAGGCATCAAGTAAAAGACAGAAACATCATCAAGACTTCATGAGAATATCTCTCCTGTACAGAGCTTGTGAATGGGACAGAATACAAGAGCAGCTCATATGTTTCATCATAATTTAACCTTGCTCAGAACAGACTTTGCACATGTAATGAATCTCAAATGTAATCCAGAGGTACATGTACATGTATGTGCTTGTACAAAAGCTTTATGGTAAACATGGAGTGGTTTCAACTTGGAATTTGGATCCCACTGGAATTTTGCTGAATAGCAGGAAACTATTATGACCCAATTCAGTTTCTGGTGAATTTTAATATTCAGTCAGTCCTTTTTTTGTGCTGTGTTGTGTTAGATTTCGTGTGTCTTAGTTTTTGTGATGGATATTTTGTCTTTAACTTGCCACTGGGGTGAAAAAAACCCCTTTTTTTTACATTTTACTCTGCTGCATAATATGTTCATTTACAGCATTGTGATGCTGTCTTCACTGAGCTTGGATAACTCAATTACTTTGACGTTTTGATCGCAGAAAGTTTATTTGTGGTGAAATCTTTTCTTAGTTTTCTTATATCACATAGGAATCAGTCAGCAAAATTAACTTACAGACTACTTCAGTGGGTTACACTTTACAACACAGCTTTAAATTTGAACAGGAATTTTTAGAATTTGCCGTAATATGCATCCAAGCAACCGAACATCACCCTTGGTATCATGAACTGTGTCTGTATAAGAGACAAAAAGGCTGCTAATGGTCAGTGCAGAAGAACAAATTGAAACTTGATCAATTCCTAGAATGTACAGTACATGTAGATTTGCGTTTCACTTCGCATTCTTTTATGTATCAAAAATCTGATACACGTTTACGCATGTTATTTGTGATGTGGATTCTATTATTTTTCCACTTGCTGCCAAATAGTTGTGCATATTGGTTGTAGACTGCAGTGTGGTTCAATACCAGATGGTTTTTTTCCCCAAAGAGTGCCTTACTGAAGACAGTTTGTGTATGTTTGGAGGCTCTACTCTTCCTTTTTCTGCCAAAAGGGGACACGGGACATTTGATTGAATTAGATGGAAACAGGACTCTCATGACTCTGAAGTCACAGCTTGACATGTTCCATATTTAATGACGATGCTTCACCAGGTCAAAACAATTTTGAATCATGGGGAATTCAGAATGAGCCCTCTGGCAAAATTCCATTAAAAATATCATTGCACTCCTTCATAGCTCCTCTTAAATTAATCTGATAGCCTATTTCTAAGAAACAAGGCATATGATTAAAAATAGAAGCATTTCAATTTAAAACATTGAAAAATTCAACAAGCAGATGAATCTGCTTTGTCCCCATAAAATCAGATTTTTGTATACGATAGTTTACCAAGTATACACCACAGCCACTTTAAAAAAAAACCCAAAAACAAAAAAAGAAAAACCCAAAAAATGCACAGCGTCTGAGCAACAGAAGAGAGGGTTGTCGATGCTTGAATTGTTACCTCCGGTCCGGTGTTTTGTTCACAGAGCCCTAGAATTCCATGCTAGGGGTTTCTTGACATTTTTTTCACTTATCATTGGCAATACAGTCTACATCTATGGCTCATGATTGATCACAAAAATACATGTCAAGGAAGCTATTGCTTGACAACTTCAAAATAATTTTCTTTGTTGCTATTTCGTGCGGCATTTGACCGCGATCCAATTTTTTTGTCTTTCCGTTAGCCATGTACTTACATGTACAATGTACATGTTTATGAAGTTTGAACTCGGTTGCATTATACGGCAAAGTAGACTAAAGGTTAACCATGCCAGAAATGGGAAGAATCTTTGCATTAGCAGACACCTCTTACAGACTGAACTTTGCTCAGGTACAGTGCCTTGCTGCTGTTGTGTGATACATGCATTGCTACATGTACATTCATACACGTACATGTACACGTACGTACATTTACCGGCAACAAAATACATGTACATACATGTGATCTGTGGCTTTGAATATGCATACTCATGAGCATGATGAATAAACATGTACACGTGTATGCACACAGTCCATGCATTTGACATGTATAGCACCTTCTGTTAAGGTGGATAAATGATTAATTACTAGTTATTCGTGCTCAACTGCAAGAAATTATGAATTTATCCAAACCTGAAAGAAAATTCATACATGAACTTAACCTTAATAGTACCATTGTTTTCCAACAGTTCAGCTTATTTTGTAATGCATAAATTTGTAAAAACTTGAAAGAAATCCGTAGAACATCATTGAAATATCCCTCTGAAATACAGACATACAGTACATGTAAACTGAAAGGTGTTGAAACCGCTGGTGTTTATTTTGTGTGTGTGTGTGCGGTTTTCAAGGCTGTCACTTCCTATGTCCGTATAGAGTACCAAAGTTTGATATCATTTTGAGTCAGTGTAGTGTGTAGTGCAAACGAATGGAGTACGTGTGCCAGTTGGTTCATGTGCCTGTTCTGATGCTCATGTCTTTTATACACATAACTGTGTGTGTGACGTAGTCACTTTGGTACTCTATAAGCTGGGAAAATATGAAGCATATTAATCGTTAAGCATCTGCATGTACGACAAATTACATGTACACTTTTTGCCAAAACCAAGGTCTGTAATTTCCCATAGGAAAAAAAAAAATTACAATGGATCCGATTAAAGCATGGGCCCAGTCTGTACAGGCATCAAATTTTCTTAGGGAAATTTCAGTCAACAAAACATATACATATACAACCTACAAAGTGTCTTCATTCTGCAGTGCGATCAGAACAAACTGCCATTGTTTATCAATTATTTCAAATCTTCAAGTGATAGGCACCAAGATAAACATAAATTATGAAAATTTTAAATATGCTTCCATGAGTACATGTATCTAGTGCTGGTTTACGAGTTCATGCTCGTCATTCTGTCCTGTTTCTTTGTCCGATTTCACATTCTGCATGATCTCTTTGTGGCACAGGGGGCAGGTGTCTTGGACATAGAGCCACTTTCGAAGACACAGGGCGTGGAACAGGTGTTGGCAGGGCGTGATCCTTGCTGTGGTGAGTTCCTGGTAGCAAATGGCACAGACGTCGCTATGCTGCCTTAGCTGGTCGTCTGTCGCCACGGGTAGACTATTGATCTTGTGCACGGCCATGCGCCGATTCTGGAATTTCTTCCAGCCGTTCTTGCCCAACTGGAAGATGTTAAAGTAGGCGTGGATGCAGATCATAATTGCGCGAATGATGCCCCCTGACTCGAAGAACAGGATCCACACACCGTTGCCAAAGAGGAAGACACCAAATAGGAATTCTATCGTACTACCGGTGGCTTTAATGTAGTAAACGTAATCATCTAGATTCTCCCAGAATTGGTCACTGTACGTGTCCAGGAGGAACAGTGTGTAGATAATGAGGGTGACGGTCACTTTGATGATGAGTTCCAAGCAGAAGGCAGTCACTGCTAGCAACCACGTCCCCACTGCTATGGTCATCCACAGGTAACTGAGGACTACAGTGGGTATGAGAATGAGCGCAACGGACATGCCCAGTGCACGGCCGTGTTTCCACAGGGAGGCTGTGTGAGATGTGCTGAGCGCCATCATCACGTGGTTGAGCATGTTGTGAATGAAGTGCAGCAAGGCTGTGATGAGTAGGATGAAGTTGCGGAAAAGGCGGACAAAGCGCTTCATCGGTTCCAGCCCTGGCAGTCCTGTCTGGAGGGACAGGATGAAAAAAAGGATGGCTGTGACGGTGCCGATGTGGGCCACCTCGTCCGAGTCTCCGCCCATGAGTCGGTCGGCCCACTTGCCGAGGTAGTATGACAAGTACGACACAACGGCCGTCAGACCCAGGACGGCAAGGTTCGAATCGCAACCGTGGGTTGCCAACTCCAGCACTGCCATCCAGGCAAAGTTCTCATCTGGGTGACTCCCTACAACATGAGTACCATTCAAGGAACCCAGGCTTCTTGCCATCACCCCAGGGAGGACAGCATTGGACACAAATGCAAAAAAGATCTGCGCGATGTGTATGGCAAACCGGAGCAGCCAAAAGCTTCGCAGAACGTTGGGCACTTGAAATTCCACCCACGCGTTCTCCAGGAGAGAATTTAAACCTAGGTTCTGCAGCATGAATCGATAGGTTGTGTACCACAGTGGTACACGCATGACCCCCCACACAATATTGGATACGCATATCGCCGCCACCTCTAGCGAAGGAACTAGAACAGATAATGCTTTCAGAGTGTTGACGGTTGTGTAGAGTGGATTGTCTGGAGTGTAATACATCAGGCAGAGTCGAATCATCATTGGCGAGATGAAATAGGCGCACATTGCCAGCCAGACAGTCAGGGTGAAGCGCTCTGGCAGAAGAGTGATACAGGCCACGTAAACAAAGGCGTAGAAAATCTGCACCAGGACGTAGAGCACAAACTCCATGCTCAACAGGATCTGGACCGGTGTGACTCGCGAGGGCTCCCCGGCATTTGGCACAGACATCAAGACGTCCCAGTCGGACACCTTCTTGTCCTGATCCACCTTCTGCAGCATGACGCTGTTCCACCAGACCACGCTGGCCAAGGTGCCGATGCACAAGAGGAGGATGTAGATCTTGAAGAGAGTTCTGGTAGTGAGACAGAACATCATCATGGCCACAAAGAGACCTGCGACAATGACACAGAAAAGATAAATGCCCCACAGACAACAGTTACATCATCAAATGTCATTTAATGATGATGTGACCTGCTTTTATAAACTCACATAGTACATGTAGCACAGCACGATCCTTAGCGGGATGGCAGCCAAAACAGTGTGTATTAATTATTTGCAAAACTGCGAGCTAAGTATGTTTGACTGTCGCTCTTTCAACAGTATCATGTTCTTGTTTTCTTTAACTTACAAATGACTAAAACAATGCTGCACCACACTGGGTGGTCGACCCCAAACTGTCCCGTGTCAATCCGCAGGTTTAGTATGGCATCGATCAGAAACAAGGAAGGCACCCTCAGGGCCACGCCCAACACAGCTTGTATTTTCCTCCCAAGCTTGAACATCATCTTGTCGTATGGGTATTGGAGAAGATAGTAGAAGAGTTGGTGCATCATTACTTGGCTGGACGAGGAAGGGCTGTGTGGAAGTCCATTCCAAAATGGGCAGCAGATGACTACACCAGAAACTGAGCAACACAGAGCGAATCAATGTTGAGTTAATCAAGCATGTCTGTTCCCACATTTTCCCACAACTTGACTACTTACTAGCATGGCATCCTTGGGTTATTCTGTGACTCTGGGAAATGTCCACAATTTTGTCTGTTATCTTTAGCATGGAGTTACACTCAAGCTCGGCAAATATACTAATTGTTATTCTAAACTGTCATGGCTGTGTTGGCAAGTGCTGCATAACACAAATCATAACAGGCCTTTACTGATTTATAATTGTTACGCTCCAACTATAGCGTAAGTCCCAACTATAGCTGGGACAGTCCCAACTGTAGTGCTGCAGTTGGGCTGGCCCAACTATTGTTGACCAGTGTCTGTGGGAAATGTCTCGACATTATCCAAGTCAATGTGTCTCACACTTGACACAATTATCTGTTAATTAATACACTTTATCTGTTCATCTAGCCCTATGACCAATGACATGACATTTGTAAACAATGACTTTGGCACATGCTGGGCACTTCGTGCACACAGGACCTCTCTGCTGTTGTTGGGCTGGCCCAACTGTAGCACTCTAGTTGGGACGGGACCAACTATAGTTTGGACTGATGCTATAGTCATAGTTGGGGCGTAACATAATTACATGTATCACAAGGCGCAAAAAGTCAAAGAAAGAATTCCAACTACCCTGAATATCGACACCACCAATTTTCCCCTCACGTGATGTGTTAGTAGTCGTCTGAAAGCGATAAAATGTCCCCAAAAGTCAAATATGGCAGTAGAAATATTGAAGTATTCAGTTAGAAAATACTTTAAAGTTTTCAGAACAATCTCCTAGGGTTTATGCACAGGGTTTCAAACATGTCAAGTGACATCCTTGTATGGAATTCTTTCTCCAGTCATGCCAGTGCAATGTGTTCCTTCCTCCATGGTGCAATAGACCTACCATGGCTACACCTTGTCTAATGCAGCTGGGCAGTATCATTACTAATCAATGTGTTATCAACATGAACCGATAAGCATGCTCCACTGTCCGGACTGTCAATGTCCTAATTGTTGTTGTATCCACCGTTCTAGCACTATCTGCCTTACATCACACCATGACGTACGTCCTTTGTTTCCTTGCTCTATGGTCACATGGTACAGGTCTAAAATCCTGTGCTATGCCTACGGCCTCCGACAGTCATGGCAATGCTATGTGCGAATTCGTCATGTTCGTTCATGCCAGTGCCTCCATGGTGCCAGTCTGTCGAAACATGGAGGAAGGAATTCCTTCCTCCATCATGTCGCCCTCCATGGTCAAAAACATGCCTCAGAAAAAGTCCAACTGCTTACCAAATTAAACACGTTACAGCTTCACATGGCAATGTAAAACGAACCGATAAAGCAGTATACACTAAAGTCATACAGGTGTTTAACTGTAAACTAAAACCGACTTATTACAAACCTCCGCGAGCATGACGAGTGCTAGCAGCAGGCCTACAGTAGGTACTTCCCGAATGCGAAATTTCGAAATTTCGCCACGGTTTTCTGGTCTGGTCTCCTGGCCCACATTGGTCTGTTCAACGTGCACTTTGAAGCAAAGCTTTGAAGGGTGTCAGACGGATCGGCCCATAAGCGCCTTGCCTCGCCAGTGACGTTGCGTCCGCCTTTATTTTGTCTGTGCAATCAAAACCTGTAAATAATCTGCAGCTGGAAATATGATAAGATCAATGCGTTTGTAAAATTGTATATTTTATGGTTGTATAAACCGTTTAAGAAAAAGAGGTATAGCTTCATGTCGATTTTTCTTTCTTTTTTAATTTAAGAAAAAAAGGAAAATGGTGACTACGTGCATGCATAGTTTTGGTGTTTGCTACGTGCAGTGAAAGGGCGCAATCGCGGCAATAAAAGTAGGTCAATGAACTTTCTTCTTTCACAAGAACTTATTGTCTCTTGAGACCAGCGGCAGCGGTCATCAATGGGGAGGAATATACCAAGAATTTACACACATATCGCCATTTGAACGCGTGTGTGAATAACATTACATTCCCTGACTCGTAGAGAGGGCTTTTAACCAACGGAAAATGGAAATCAGCCAGCTCAATCTCCGCATTTGGCGGTTTTCAAACGTGGTTCTTCGTCTGCCGAGCGTCTTCATACTGGAGGCTATTCATCAGTCGAGACGGTCCAAGTCTCGCCTCAGTGGCTCGACCGAGAGCCTGGCCAGCCATTGGGGGCTGGAACCGGAGACGGTGACGATTGGATCGCAATATCTGGGTAGGCTTTTGTTTAGTTGTGTTGTTATTTTTGTAGTGTTGTAAATTTCATCTGACATGTCTGAAGACGGCTAAACCAAAAGTAAGTAGACTTCTAGCCATGACTGTGGCACAAACGAAATCCTCCACAGCAAGTTCCAAAACATTTGTTTGGAACATGTAAAGAAACTCTAAGGTCTGTTAAACAGGGAACGCATAAGTAGGCATAAAGGTCGCAACTCTTCGCGGTAATTTAATTCACTTCTTTCAGTGTTTGCCTCTTTTTAGTAGATTTTATTGATATTTTCTTTTGTTGGTTTCACTTTCAGGTTACTTCGTTGTGTTTCTCTTGCATGCTTTACCCCTGAGAATGCTGATCAAGCTCTACAAGTTCATTGTTGTTGGTCTCATGCTTCTGGCTGCCCATCTTCTCTCTGCGTACTCCCTGTCTGTCAGAGCTACAGACTCCCACAGCTCCTTCCCATCAGCTGTGACGTTTGCTCTCGCTCAAGGGGTCATCAGCCTCATGTGTGCACAGCTAATGGGGACGAAGCACGTGTGGGCCTTCGCTGCATACGTGCTTCCTCAGATTGCCAACCTGAGCGGTCTACCGTTGGACGCCCAAAAGTTGGCTCATGGCGTGGCCCAAGCTGTCACGCTGGCTGAGGTCAGTGTCTTCACGCTGAGACACGTTCTTGTGCCATACCGGCTGGCCTTGATTGGATACAAGACACTTCAAGAGTACGTCGAACTCTATGGCATCATCAGTGTCATCTTTGCCTTGTACAATCGCTTCTTTGTGCCGATGCTGTATCTCATTTTCTGGCTGGTGCTATTTGCCCATCGGCTCTACGTGTACTACTCAACAAAGGACCATAAAATTTTTGGGGAGCGCTGGGCGTTGGTGATCTTTGCAGCTATCGCGGACTGTTGTGAAAGCCCTTGGAGTTTGCTTGGTCTGTGCTACACAGTGTCCTACACGGCCTTCCTAGTGCTGCTTCTGTGCAAGATGTATCTCAAAGGTTTCAACAGCCTGGGAGGAGAGACCTTCCTCCATCGTGGCTGGACGGAAGGCATCACTGTGATGCTGCTCGCCATGGAAACCGGTCTCCTGGAGCTGAAGAAGCTGGAGAGAATCCTGCTCCTGAGTGTGCTAATGTACATTGCTCTGTCATCAACCATCCAGTCAGTGTACGAGATCTTAGACCCTGTGCTGCTGGCATTAGCTGCATCCAATGACCGTAGCCCTTGGAAACATTTCAAGGCATTGAGCATGTGCTTGGCTTTGATGGCCACGCCTCTTTACCTGAGCTACATGCTTTTCGCCATGTTCGAAGCAGAACTGTGGCTGATGATCATTGTGTCAAGCTGTCTGCTCACCACTGTCCAGACATTTGGTTCATTGACCATCTACCTACTCTTTATGGCAGATCATCGGCGCTCCACATCTTGGGAGAGCTTGGACGACGTGGTGTATGGCATACACGCCATGTGTCATGTCCTGGAGTTCGGCATCGCGCTCTCGGTACTCTTCTACGGCGGCATGGAGTCCTTTCATCGCGACTACAATCTGCTTGGGGCAGCCGTCATCCTCGTCCATTGCTACTTTAACGTCCTCCAACGAGCCCAAGCCGGTTGGCAGAGTTTCCTCCACCGCAGGGATGCGGTCCGTAAGATCAAGTCATTGCCCACGGCTACCCAAGAGGAGCTATCCTCCCTCCGCGACGTCTGTGCCATCTGTTTTGAGGAGATGGCATTTGCCAAGGTGACTCCCTGCAGACACTACTTTCACAGCGTCTGCCTGCGGCGGTGGCTGTACGTGCAGGACAAGTGTCCGCTGTGCCACAAGACCATCATACCAGAGATGCCCAAGCCATCTAATGGAGGTGGAGACCCGGAAGAGGAGTTACCACGGCAACCACATCAGGATCTTGGACAAGGAGATGCTATGATGGCACTTTAGTAACCAATCCATCAACATGCCTTTCATGCATTTTCATACAAATTTACTTTTTAAATTTTCACCTGAAGCTCTGTGTACTTCTGAAATGAATGTGAGAAAAATCAGGTCATTTGATCAGTGTGTACCAAACAATTAATGGGTACAGTTAGCATGTTTGAATTTGTCTAACTTGTTTTGATGATCAGTTGTATCTACGAGGAAAAAAGATTCCTTCATTTTGTTTTGTTCTTTCTTCTATAAAATCATGAGCATTTCATTTATTCTTTCAATAAACTTGAATGGATGATTGACAGCAGGTTCTTGTCTGATTCCAAACATTATAATTGCCAGAGTGTATATATCGACAAACTTTATCGATTGTCAAAAGTATGATTTTATTTTCTTCATCAGGAAAAGCTGTGCCTGTTGTATGTATTGCCATTAAGTTCAGCAAAGATTTTTTTTATTTTGTAAAGTTTTTCCAGCACATTTGCCAACAATGCCAAGTGCTATGCCAGTAACAGTGTACTCGATGCATGTGTGAACCTGCATGAATTGGTACAGTCTTCTTTTACAGCTGAAAAATTATTTCCTAACTTGAAATTTGGTTGTAAAAGAAAGTACACTTTGCCAGTTAATTGAAACGGTCAGGTGGACGGAATTTGGGCAAGTCTTGCCCCAAATTGGGCGTTGGAAGCTTTGGGAACAAGTTAAGTGGTCCATGTCGTAAAATATAGATCTGTTACAGTATTACATTTATAACAGGTTTGTTAAGGACCAAACCATAATTATTGTTATTATATGAGGCAATAGTTTTCATTGCTATTGAGTCTTAGACCCTTGTGTCCTTCAAAATTCATCATGGAGTTTTGGAGAATTTTGCAGGATTGAGAAAGGTCGGGCTATCATGAACAGTGGATGATGTAGGAGGACTTTGGAATATGCACTTGGTGGGCTAGTTTCAAATATCCACATCTAGCTAGTCTTGATATGGGAACACCACTTGCGTGGTCAACCACTTGTCTCATCAGCACCTGAAAATTGGATACATGCTCCCATGCAATTTTGTCGAACTTGTTTGCTAACACTTAGACTTAGGGAGGCAAAGATCCCCCTAACTTTATATTTGAAAAAGAAAAAGACAAGAAGCTGCCTTTCATCGGTGGAATATTCTAAAAGGCTCTCAATAATAATGCTGAAGGACTTGCATGTTTTATAGACCTTTAGGTTTAGTGTCAACTATTTCAAATCACATTCCAACATCATGTCACATGCTGTAAAAATGCCCAGAATCTTGACCAACTGTTTTACGCTGGTAGCTTCATGATGATTATGATTTATTTAGGTGTTGCAAGCTGAAAGCTTCCTGTCATTTGGGCGTCACACTTGTGCTTGTACATTTTAAAGCTAAAGTTAAAACTTGGCATGTTTTTTTCCCATCACTGTCAACTCCATTTTTGTTGCCAAATTGCTTTGGGTCTGTTTGTGTTGGCAGACTTCAAATCCCTGTGCAAAGTGCATTGCCATTTTGGTTGTAACACGTTATGTTCAAAGCCGTCAAAGGTGACCAGTTCAGTGAGGATTTCCATGTCTGTTTTGTCACTGTTCACTCACGGTGCAAATTCCAAAGTTGTAAGAGATCATTCACCTGTGTACAGACAAACTTTGATCAGTCTTTAAGATTCAACCTCCGTGTCTTCATACTGCCAATGCAGTGCTTGTGCACTCGCTTTGATCAGTTTTTAAGATTCAACCTCCGTGTCTTCATACTGCCAATGCAGTGCTTGTGCACTCGCTTTGATCAGTTTTTAGTCCTTTTGACAGTTACTTTAAGTAAACTTGGCCTGTCCATGCACAAAAATCAATATTTTGTTTACTCCTGACTACATGTATGATAAATTCAACATCATGTTGATTAGAACAAACACACCACGAGGTATGACACCATTCAACATACTGTCTGGTTGCTTGTTTAATTGCAATTTTATTTGTAAGAATGTTCAAACATACACGTTTGTCTAATAACAGCATACTTCACCTTTTTTTGTTGGGTTCACTTAGTATTAGTTTTATACAACTTTTTATTGCCTTTAAGGCTCTTTAGATTAAAATCAAATTCCACTTTTTGTTTACAACTTCAAGCACTGCTCACATACGCAATGCATTTTGCATGTACATGTTCAATGGAGTACCAAGGGTAGATGGAGCATCTGTAAAGCCAGATGTAAATGACAGTGGTTGTCGTGTTATTAGATTGATCCTTTAAACCCTGCCCCCTTGTGTTAGGACCAATCACAGCTGCGATTTATGTCCGACATGCATGCACAAAAATTTGACATGCGTGCCCACGTGTATGATGCCCGTGGATGGAACATGCAGTGTGGCATTGGGGAAGAATGTGTTGTCAAGTGCCCATGTGCACAGTGGGCGGGGCTTAATGGATTGGGCTTTAATAAAAATGTCCATGGGCCATTTGTCTTTGTCCGAGACGTCCGCCTCACCACTAGCTGCAGAATGATTTCTAAATGTTTTACCGTGGGAACCAAACAAAAGTACTGTAGTCCTAAAGTACAGGCTTGGGCTTACACAAAGCTGGTTGGTCGCAGCTCGGGAGAGTTAATTCATGAAAATTAAGCAGGAAGCCACTATCATTGACGAAGCTGAGGTTTTGGAAAAGGACCAGGTTTAACACATGTTGTTATGTCAGTGCTACATGTAAAAGGCCCTCACTGATAAAGTGCATTGAAACGTTCTTATTGAAAAATATTATTGTAAACATGAAATCAAGCAAGAAAATGTGTTGATATTTATGTAAATACTTGTATATTGGCCCAAGAAGACTAGTTTAACCAAGTCATGTAGTTTGTTTCAATACGAGATTCCTTTCATGCTTAGAGTAAAGCCCTAAGAATATTTTCCCAAATTACATTTTTGCTGTAATGGCCTTTTAGCATTTGGAATGACATGTACATCGACAGACAGCACATTCATTTCATTCTGTCCAATCATGTTGCATTTAAAAGGATCTCTTGCGATTGTGTTCATCCCCGACACTGTGTAAGTTTATGTCTAATTGAAATCGTTAAATTTGTGCAATATAAATAAAGGTGGCAATGCAATGAAATTCTGAAATTCTTGGCCGAGTGGTTTTGTCATTCCGAAGTCAATAACCCAAGATAAAATCTGACATACACCGTCCTCTACTTTACCAGCCCTTACAGTATAGGACAAGCTTTGGAAGTTAGTGAAACAAACGAAGTTTTATTGTATCTTTTACAAAACAGAAATAAAGTACTTTTAAACGAAATTCTACTTTTAGAAGGATGCGAAATTCCCAAATGCTGAAAGTGGAAGTAACAATCTACAATTGTCTCAAGAAATTAAAACTTACAAATATTCTTTTGAAAACTCTCTGTCCTGCCGTTTCCCAACTTCTTATCTGCAGGGATTTGACTCCAAGCTCAAATAGTTGCTGGACGGTGGTAGAGGACTCTTGATGTGCAACACAAATTTATGAGGCTGAATGGAACAACTGGACTTGAGTGACACTCCGATGATATCAGGCTCAGATCCCCAATCCAAGAAGTGTTACTCACTTGAGTCAACAGTTGAGCCTGATAAGACCTTTGTAATGTCCATCTGCTATTACACCAAAGTTCAACGTTCAAACATCTTGCAACAATCAGCTCTTAGTTGGGAATCCCTCGTCGAGATCTCCGTTCTCCAACATCTCTTTGACAATGTCCAACCCACCCACCAGCTCTCCCTTCAGGTAGAGCTGGGGATAGGAGGGCCAATTCGAATATGTCTTCAGACCTGAAGCAAATAAGTAAAAAATTCCAAAATACCAGTGACAATAAAATTTGAGACACACTCTGGCTTTACACAAAAAGCCCACAGAGTTTTTGGGTAGAGCTGGAAATCATTATTTAAAAATTTCCAAAGAACTTTGAAAAGAAAACCAAATGAAGTTACATAAAATAAGGTTATCTGAACACCTCGTTATTTTACACAACTAATACGCTCTCGACATTTCTACAAGTTTGTGTACCTTGTCTGACTTCATCGTCTCCCAGGATGTCAAACGTCTTGTAGTCGATGTTCTTGTCATTTAGGATCCCCACCATGGTTCGACTAAAGCCGCATCGTGGCCCCTCCGGATTCCCTTTCATGAACAGCATACATGCTGCCGAGTTGATGAGTTTCTTCAGCCTTGCATTCAGATCCTGTCAACAGATCGAGAAAAACCTGAACAGTGAGCTCAATAATTGCCAATCCCCAACAGTTCAACCGCCAACCAGGATATGTGAAAAGGCTTGGAGGATTTACGCCCATTTACTCACCTTTTTAGGGAAGTCTTCATCTAAGTCCCCGTTCTCATTCATTTCTTTGACAATATCCAAACCTCCCACAAGCTCCCCGTTAAGGTACAATTGGGGATAGGTGGGCCAGTTGGAATACGTCTTTAGACCTTCAAAAGAGTAAATATTAACAGGTATGACATAAAACAGTTCAATTAGGAGGCAAGGCAGCATGGAAAATTGAGGAAAGTAGTGTGAATCATCCATCAGTTATGCTCATCCATATGATGCCTTTACTACCCCTGTTCATCATGCCAATGAAGTATTCCTCAGGCCATTATAACTCTCAGGGTAGCATGTATTGCTGCCATTTTGCACAAGGAGTACATTTCCAGAACTTAAACATCCTTCTTCTTTTGTGGTCAGAGATGACCTTAACCCCAGAGTGGAAAGAGCTAAATTCCGTTGAGAAGCATCTTGCTTCAATGCATGTGCGACAACTAAACTGGAACCCACGGTTCTTAGAACTGCCAGCGGTGTTTTCATTTTGGATACACCAGACCACTAGGCCTCATGGATCTGTCATACGATGCAAGATATGGGGCCAAGAGAATCCCCCTGCCTTTGTGTTGGTCATGGTTTGATTGGAATCTCTGGAATGCTTTACAGACTTGTAGGGGGGATGTGTTAGGTAACAATAGTCTAGAGTGTGTATAGGAATTGGACTTATAGGGGGTACCCATCGGCCCCATATCGTGCACGGTATTGGATCTGTACCTTGTCTGACTTCACTGTCTCCCAGGATGTCAAACGTCTTGTAGTCGATGTTCTTGTCATTTAGGATCCCCACCATGGTTCGACTGAAGCCGCACTGTGGCTCTCCTGGATTCCCTTTCATGAACAGCATGCAAGCCGCCGAGTTGATGAGTTTCTTCAGCCTTGCATTCAGATCCTGTTAAGACAAGAGGTCTCTTGTAAACAGCAAGGGACAATCTATGACACTGATCTAATTCCGGGTTGTAGATGATTCTTGTGACTTGCCTCTTTTGCTGAAGCATTTGTCTTGGCCTCTTTTGCTGAACCATTCGTCTTGGCCTCTGGGGCTTCAGCTATCTTGGACGGTGGGACATTTGGAGGCGGGGCCTGACTAGAGGCGGCCTTGGAGTGCCACTCGACCTTCCTGCTGAACTCTGGCCCATTGGCACCATGAAGTGTGTCCACCACTTTCTTGTTCTATTGCGACACACAGACAAAATTACAATTATCGCTATTTGTGATGTGCCTCGACTTTGAGAAGGGGGCGGTGTACAGTACTCAAAGATGCCATTTGAAAGAAAACCACAATCAACTTTCATTTTGGAAACAAAAAGTGGGACTACAGACAAACCTTCAGAAAGACAAACGTTGGTACTGATGAAATGTCATACTTGAGGGATACTTCAGGTATAGACTCAGCTTCAACCTTGAGATGAAAAAAATGGGAAAGCAAGATGAACTTTTTATTTGGATACTTACATGTACATATATGTAATTTGTGATATAAAGAGCTGATAACAAAATGTGCAACTGTCATCCAATGACTCAGACCTATTTTTCTAAGTTCAAAAGGCAATCAATTAAACATAGTTTACAAAACATAAAATACATCAGCAAATTGTAGAAAAGGTGAAATTGAAATGAAACGGTCTTAAAGTTGAGCATTTTGGCCAATCTGATGGCTTTTTGTCACTAGGTCACATTTGAATATTATGCATGTTTGCATTTATTGATTTATGTTGGCGGGACGTGCATCTCACCTTTACAAAGTGGACATTCAGAAATTGTTTGGCCACTTCTTGCATGATGTCATTCATGGAGACACACTGTGGGGCCCAACTAGCCCAGAAGTGGACCACTAACAGACCACTGAAGAAAGGACCAAAACAAAACAATATACAAAGTGATCACAGAACAGTTTCCGTGACGTGTGCATGCTACGTGCATGTACCTTAACATGTGCACGTGCATGCACATGCCTAATTTTTCTGACGTTATTTACTCATGAGCCCGAGTCTGAGGTCTTTCACTTTTCATGCTACTCTGGAACAAGCATGCAGACAACGTACATTTAAACCTACATGAACCGGATTTATGATTAACTAACGACTTTGTGAAAGCAAGACATCATATAGCCCCACTAGTGTGGCACTGACTCTCACTCCCGATCCATCGGGAGAGAGAGTCCGTGCCACACTAGTGGGGCTAGACACCATAATGTTAGGCAAGCCATATGTTGTAGGCTACAACTCATTAAAATCACACTGACTGTTAGGCCTACTTGTTATTTGTCACTCTGTTCACAGTCTGGGCATATTATCATGGAGGTAGAATGATATTATGAATAGATATTATTCACGTTGATAATGAGACACTGCAACCTGACCAGACTGCCATGATCTGGCGACGAACAAAATCCGCATGATACAACTTACAAGAACAATGATGGTGAATCTAGAGAGGACCTGCTTGGAGCGCCCTCCTAGAGGACCTGGTTTGTTATTTAGATTTAATGACAATGAATGTACGAAAGGTTTACTCGAGCCTATCCTTGAGGAAGAAAGAAATACCCTCTAACGTGACGTCACACGCAGGGGGGTCTTAATAATATAGCATAGGCGTGATAGGAAGCTGGTTTACTCTTATTCTCTTAATTTAATACACCAAACATAGCCGGAAAATCAATAGCGATTGCTCAGATATAATGATTAGGGTGTAGATCGTAACTCCGTTCAAAATAACAAGAGCTTTTACCTTCCTGTGGCCTCAGCAAGAGCATCAAAATCGGCGAGAGATTTCACGTCGCTCAAATTCGACATCTTTCTATTCTTGTGCAAAAGAGAAAAGTTTACCGCGCCCTCTCTCGGTCACAAGAGGGCGGTATACACATTAACACAACTTTCAGTGCACTCAGTGCCTCTGAGCCGTATGTGTAGGCAGTAACTTCTCTGGTGCGGCTCCTCGGGAATGCTGTGCTCAGTCGATTAAGCACAGTTTCGATTTATTGCCAATTGTCTAACAATCTAGCCTTAATATAAAGCATTTGGCAGCGTTCAAATTACAGTTCGAAAGAACTGTAATTTGCACGACAGAGTTTAGTTGCTCAAGTTTTATTCATCTGTGAAGATCCTGCCCTGGAGAGGTTTCCCTCGGCTTTTAGCTTCAATTCAATCAACAGTTCTTATAGGCCTAAAGTGTATAATACTATAACGTCTATATGCGCCGTATTATAATTAACCTTCCCAGCTGGGCTAGGCCACATATGCCCCATTTTGCGACATTATCTCGTCGCAGCTTTTGATCAGTGGACTGTAACAAGTACAAGCCTGACTAGCCACACGATGCTCAAGGTTTGCTATCCTAGTTCTGCTCGGAAATCCGGGACAAGCCTGGAGGTTTCAGTCAACAGCAGCGAATATCTGGCTTACCCATTGATACTCTTGGATGAAGAGGGGCAAGCACGAGAGATTAAAGTAGCTCACCCACGGTCTCCAGCGGCTGGATCCGAGCCCCTACTCTGTAGATCAGGAGTAAAAGCCCTAACCACGAGATCACTAGAGGCCGAATTTTTAGCCTAACCTCTTTGACCTCTTGCGTGGCAGTAGACCAATTATACCTACCGGACAGTCCCTGTCTTTAGGCCCCCCTTTAAATGTGACACCGGCGCACTGAGAACTCGAAATAAGGTTGGAATGTGATTTCAGTACGTTTATCTCCATCTCCCAAGCTTCAATCGAGACCGACTCTAGACCAACTTAATCTTGCGATAGAAAACAACAGGGGGGGGCTTCAAAAAGCTCAACATGCCAAATCCAGGCATTCCGTCAACGCATCTTCCCTTCTCAGAATCCGGGCCAATAATTCGCCACGGCCTCCTCGGTTCAAGAGCCTGGCACGCGCTGAGCATAATCGAAGAAAAAAAAAACCACCTGCGGTCCCTGCAGTGGAACATATAATCTCTCCAGATCTCCGGAGGCTTCTTCGAAAGCACTTCACCGTCGTTTCATTAGCAGACTCACCGAGCATACAACGTATATAGTTGAGCTTCTTTCCAGTGTTTGCGCGTTGATGCCCCTAGGCATAGTGATTGAAACTGTACCAGTGATAAAGCGCATATGGCCATTGGCGATATCAATATTATCACGTTGCAAAAATTAGTGCCCTATTGAACTCCTCTCCACTTGAAAATTGGATAGTTATTGGCTGGGAAACTGTGTCCCTTTTTTTTTTACCTTACAGTGACTACGGAAATTTTAATCAAACGCTCCTTGCTTATAATGGTATTCCAGTCACGGATCATTCTCTAAGTCCTAACATTTCCCCAGCGGATCTAATCTCGAGTTGCATTTTTGGGAAAAAAAATCTTGTAGTGGTTCCATTTACCTTGTGAAGTGGGACGCCCTCAGTGGGTTCACTGTACCTGTCGGCCATTTAGTCGGTAACGCGCTGAACCTGTTGGTGTGCGTGCCGTTTTCACACACGCATGTAAATCCCTGGGTGCGTTCGATTAGCTTACACGTGTAAGTCAAACTTACGCAAGAGCGTTCGTTTAGTCATCACGTGATCCTCGTGCCTGCCCTGGTGTCAGCTACCATTACCCTGGCTCGCGAGTGGGTCTCTGGAGGCTGCCCGAGTGTAATGACGTCACGGATGGACTGTTCGAGCATGGACATGATGGGTCCACTAATTCAAGCCCCATTGAAAACAGTGTAAAATCAGCACCGTTCAGGGCCCAATAACATGCACGCCTACATCCCTGAGATTTCTGAAACACAAATTAAATTCTTGTCTGGTCACTTATCTTTCACTTTCTTTTCAATTTTTTGTGGGTTAACCAATTACATTTTTAATTATTCCCACAAAACAAACTCACCCCCCAAAAAGTTATTTTTCCGAAGTCTGATTGCAGCCATTTTTCAAGTGGCAACCCTCAACATTCTCGGGTACTTAGGACCATTTTTCAACCATACTTTTTAGCCCTTCTGCTCTCATATGAAAACTCAAAGACCCAGGGAGTTGATCCCGGCAACGATTTACACAATCTCATCATTTTGGGGGCCAAACAATCTCCTTTTTCAAAAGATACTGTGGGGACACTTTTAATGCTTATAAGCTGGCCAGAAATTCTCACTTGAATTAATGGTCTGCACCCTGGTGGAAGGAACGTGGCGGGGACTTGACCTTTTTCCCAGAATGCCTTGGCGAAATCGATTAGCCTCATTTCGAGGCTTCCCTTGCGTGTAACACTGGTGTATTCAGGGAAGCTAATCGAATGCACCCAATATGCGGCTCTAGGTGTGAGCTTCTCACAAAGATTCTACAATTTAAACTGTTCTGCACTTAGGTCACGCCCCTTTGAAACAAAACAACCCCTCCCACTTTAGTGGAATTTATCACGATAGGGCCTAATGTTATTCTTTTCGCCTCTATAGGTTTGCTCTTATAACATGAATACAAGTCATCAGTTAATTTGCCAAGGTCATTGAACTTGCAGTTTTGTTACAAGCCGCCCCCAACTCGACTAAACAGGATTTGGGTTCTCTGCATTTGCATTGCAATTATTATTCATCAATTTCCAAGAAAAGCCGAAGCAAGAAATATCGCACTGTTGGTTTTGTCAGAGTGCAACTGCACTTTAGCGTAGGGCTATTTATCGAAAGTCGTGTCTTGACAGGGAACGGTGGCATTTTCTATCATCGGGTTGTAAACTAGTGTGAGGATTCTAGACGCTCCACTGACGACCCGCACGCTGCACTGTCGCGACGATAGCTGCGCTCGATCATGGATTAACGCGGTACTTTTTTGTTTAACGCAAATCAAATATCTACCCACTTTTTCCTCGTTCTCTTTCCTGCTTTCAACGGCCCCTGATATCAAAGGGTGAAGAAAGATCCATGCGTGAAGTCTGTAGGGTGGCAAAGGTTCGGGTAGTGCGTTCCTAGTGGAACAAGACAGTGGTGTAGCCGTGTGAAGTTGACAATTTGACGGGTTAAGCACAGGGGGCTTTTTCAGGAGAAGTGAGTTTTCCTCAAGAGTTTTTGCCCATAGCCAAAGATTGAAAAGATAGAAAGGTCAAATCGCTGTGTGCCGGTGGATTAATTGGCATTTGGGTCTTGTAGTCATGTTGACGTGCATGGGTTTAACATTTGCTTGGATGAAAGGAAGCACCGATCCCGACAACTTTCGGCCGCTACACTGCGCCATATAACCGAGAGACAAATCGGGCTTTTAATGGGCGGCCAATGTATTACGTGTACCATGTTGCTATAAGCGCACGTGCCGGGGCTCTGGGAAGGAACTTCTTAGTGATTTATGGTTGTGTTGAATCTCGTCGGCAGGATAAGTCAAAGGCTTTTAGAGCCTGATAAGCCATAACAGACTCTTTCGTACAACGCCCCAAACCTGAACGACGAACTGGGGTCGGTTTAAAACTTTACAGGGACAAACGGCTCTCGAGGGGTCGAAGTCGCTTTGATTTCCCCTCGAATCGAAGAGAGATAAGAAAATTACCGTGAGGGACTTTTAGTACGTTCGGAAGACTTGAGAGAGTTTTGTAGGCTGCAAAAAGACCCGCCCGAGCAGGAAATGACAGCAAGAGCCCCGCGGTGTATACCGAGTGGGAATCGAACCTGGGTCACGTGAGGCGCAGAAAGAGGAAAGAATCAATTACGCGAGCCAGCCGACCATTGCAACCAACTTACTGAGACGCCAGATGGGAGAAGGCGCAGTGAACAAATCACTTAGAGTGTATTCGATCAGCTGACCTACGAGGAATTGAATGGCATGCCATTTTGTGTCTTACTGTCACCAACCCTTAAAACGCGGAAAGCCAGTTCAGTCCTCTTCCACGTTTTGAGAAATCACCACCACCCTAGTTCTACCCAAAACAAATTGGATATACAACATTACGTGGGCGCGGGTCAGACTGTTGGAGCCAATTTGCATTTTCGACCCTTTTACGAATCCTTTCATTTTCTGTTCCATGTTTTTTTTTAAAACAAACCTAATGAATCGTTCAGCTATCATGGCATCCTAGACCGACAACGTCAAAGGTTTAATGGGGGACGGAGAAGGAGTAGGACTCTAGGAGGCGGTGAAATTACAGCTCCCGGTTGCTTGAAGGGACATGTTGGCGCGGTACGCTATAGAAATCTTAAATCAACGTTGAGATTCGATTTCGTTGCCATTTCAATTAACCGCTACCCCTGTTAGTGACCGGACGTCAGTGCAAACGACCTGAGCGCCATCGATCAAGAGAGGGCGCACCCTTCATTTCAGCATTGCATAAACGTCGCCTGGGGAATTAGATGTCAAGAACTTTGTCTTAAGAATTCCACATCTTGGAAAGCCAAACTTCTTCACAAAATCTACTCGCACTACTGTTTCATACCCACTAACCCATATTTTCTGTAAATGGATAGCCACAGGCTTCTCGCAAACAGGTCTGATTTTAATTTGGACCCACGCACCACATAAGTGGTCTGATTTCTAATTGAATTTGCCAGTAAGAGGTAAGGCGCCATCTAATTCACTCTGAGTAGTTTAACCATACTCGGGCTGCTGTGGAGCTGGTCTCTATAATTATGTGTTGTTGATGAAGTGCTGTTAATTTCTATTTCAGTTTCATTAGAGCTAAACAGAGTTTTGATGATTATAAATCGACTGTGGGGCAATAGCGAGGTCTGGTCAATTTTTGGGGTGCAATGTTTGTATCGACCGAATAGTTGACGTCGGTCCTTAAAATCCATGCGTCAGCGGTCGATAATATGCAATCCTTGTGCACCAAAATACATGCATAAATATTAACATGAACCACGTGGACTAAAATGTTCACAATTAA